CAAACCGTTATTTTGGCTGGTTGGTTGGTTGGTTGTTTTACGCCGCACTCAGCAATATTCCAGCTGTATGGCGGTGGTCTGTAAATAATCGAGTCTCGACCAGCCAATCCAGTGATCAACAGCATGAACGATGATATTTAAATCCGTTGGAGTACACCGACAGGCAAATAGCCAGGTCAAATGTTTAAACCACCCGATCCACATTAAATCTCCACTGACGACGATGTGATAAGAAGTAGCTGGTTGTTCACTAGCCTCGAGAAATCTGGATTTCAGTTATTCCGGAAATCCCTCTTTCCAAATAAATACTTTTAAGAACAAACACGTGTATACAAAAGAAAATGCTTACCAACATACATTTGTTTATCCGGCCACTTCGATCGATTCCACTGGGAACAGGTCGGTCCGGGTTGACGAGGTTTCACGGTGATGGAGGAAAGCCCACCGTGGCCATAGTTCCCACTTCGGGGACACCAGCGAGCACGACTATAGTGCCAGCAAAAGCTGACAAAGCGAATCTGCAATTCGGACACAAAAATGCCGAATATAGCACAACTGTAAGAGCACCTGACCCTCGTGTTTCCGACAGGATGAGTGAGTGAGTTGGGTTTGACGCCGCTGTGAACACTATGTTTCACGTAGCCACCAAATTCTGAACATGGGTCGGCCGTCGGAAAAAACAACAAAACAAACTTAATAAAGACAAAATAATCTGAATAATGTTCTTGATTCTCATTTATTGTAGCTCTTGTTACAATTTCTCGCGTACTTTGGACTTGTGGCAGCGACTGATTATAAGATAAACAGTTTATATGACAGGGCGGTACGTTTTAGGTTCAAGTCGGCAGGGTTGGAAGGAACCAGGCTACTGGCGTATTAAAGGGGCGTAACTCTGCAAACACCTTGAGGCTTGGTTAGTGAGATTTGAAACCAGACGTTGCATATTTCTGAATCGCATTGTCTTCAGATACCTGTACGTAATTGGTCGTTAGTGAACAGCAGAATCTCTACTTTTGTACAAGTATATACGGAAAGCAACGTGTTGTGACGAGAACCTTCCAGGTTCCGCCGAATGGTCGCGAGGGACAATCAAAGGAGGATGGATGAAGAGAAAAAAAGATAGTCTAGAATTTAACAAATTAGGGATTTGTGCTACGACCAACATACTGTTTTTGTACAACACTGTTCCCATGTTGTGCAGCGTTACCCGAGGGAGAGTGTCTGTGTTTGTTATGGGTTGTCTACATCCTCATCCACGACAGACACCGGGAAGCTATCTCTCCGCAAATATTGGTGCTGTATAGAACCTATTGACGAATCATTAACTGAGGAGTTTTTGTGGTGTCAGGTAAACACTGTGAGAACGTTGTTCCAGTGTGTGGTCGGATCTGAGCCTATGTTTCCCAGACCTGGGAGATGTCAGTGGTAGTGTTCCCCCCCGCGTGTCGAGTCCATCTGCCTGGCGATGGTTGTCAGTATCTGACATCAGCAACTTGTGACAAGATAGGCCTACTGCAATGACTGACATCAGCCACTTGTGACAAGATAGGCCTACTGCAATGACTGACATCAGCCACTTGTGATAAGATAGGCCTACTGCGATGACTGACATCAGCAACTGGTGACAAGACAGGCCTACTGCGATGATTGACATCAGCAACTAGTGACAAGATAGGCCTACTGCGATGACTGACATCAGCAACTTGTGACAAGATATGCCTACTGCGATGACTGACATCAGCAACTAGTGACAAGATATGCCTACTGTGATGACTGACATCAGCAACTTGTGACAAGATATGCCTACTACGATGACTGACATCAGCAACGTGTGACAAGATAGGCCTTTTGTGATGACTGACATCAGCAACTTGTGACAAGATATGCCTACTGCGATGACTGACATCAGCAACTGGTGACAAGATATGCCTACTGCAGTGACTGACATCATCAACTTGTGATAAGATATGCCTACTGTGATGACTGACATCAGCAACTGGTGACAAAATATGCCTACTGCAATGACTGATATCAGCAACTTGTGACAAGATATGCCTACTGCGATGGTTGACATCAGCAACTAGTGACAAGATATGCCTACTGCGATGACTGACATCATCACGTTGTGACAAGATATGCCTACTGCAGTGACTGACATCAGCAACTTGTGATAAGATATGCCTACTGCAATGACTGACACCAGCAACTAGTGACAAGATATGCCTACTGCGATGACTGACATCATCAACTAGTGACAAGATATGCCCACTGCAGTGACTGACATCAGCAACTTGTGACAAAATATGCCTACTGCAATGACTGACATCAGCAACTTGTGACAAGATATGCCTACTGCAATGACTGACATCAGCAACTTGTGACAAGATAGGCCTACTGTGATGACTGACATCAGCAACTTGTGACAAGATAGGCCTACTGTGATGACTGACATCAGCAACTTGTGACAAGATATGCCTACTGCAATGACTGACATCAGCAACTTGTGACAAGATAGGCCTACTGCGATGATGATATCAGCAACTTGTGACAAGATAGGCCTACTGCGACGACTGACATCAGCAACATGTGACAAGATAGGCCTACTGCGATGACTGACATCAGAAACTTGTGACAAGATAGGCCTACTGTGATGACTGACATCAGCAACTTGTGACAAGATAGGCCTACTGCGATGACTGGCATCAGCAACTTGTGACAAGATATGCCTACTGCGTTGATGATATCAGCAACTTGTGACAAGATAGGCCTAATGCGACGATTGACTTCAGCAACTTGTGACAAAATATGCCTACTGCAATGACTGATATCAGCAACTTGTGACAAGATATGCCTACTGCAATGACTGACATCAGCAACTTGTGACAAGATATGCCTACTGCGATGACTGACATCAGCAACTTGTGACAAGATATGCCTACTGCGATGACTGACATCAGAAACTTGTGACAAGATAGGCCTACTGCGATGACTGACATCAGCAACTTGTGACAAAATATGCGTACTGCAATGACTGATATCAGCAACTTGTGACAAGATATGCCTACTGCAATGACTGACATCAGCAACTTGTGACAAGATATGCCTACTACGATGACTGACATCAGCAACTTGTGACAAGATAGGCCTACGGTGATGACTGACATCAGCAACTTGTGACAAGATATGCCTATTGTGATGACTGACATCAGCAACTTGTGACAAGATATGCCTACTGCAATGACTGACATCAGCAACTTGTGACAAGATAGGCCTACTGCGATGATGATATCAGCAACTTGTGACAAGATAGGCCTACTGCGACGACTGACATCAGCAACATGTGACAAGATAGGCGTACTGCGATGACTGACATCAGAAACTTGTGACAAGATATGCCTACTGCGATGACTGACATCAGCAACTTGTGACAAGATAGGCCTACTGCGATGACTGACATCAGCAACTTTGTGACAAGATATGCCCACTGTCATGCCAGACTCGACAGATTCCGAGATGATCATAGCAAGACTCGGCCATCTCAACGCAGCTAGCGAGATGAGTTAAACACCGCTTAGAAATGAAATACACAATGTCATTTAAAAAGTTGGATTACACTTTCTTTGCAAAGTACAGACTCCAGTACTTTTGTTGGGTTGAGTCCCACCCGGGATTCGAACCCACACCCTCAGAGTCAGGCACCTATTCGCCAGCACACAAAGTCAGACGCCTAGACCGCTCAGCCACCGCGGCTTCCACACAAGTACTAGAATCTGTACTTTACAAAGAAAGTGTAATCCCAAATATAACATATGTTACCGATTAGAAAGTGAATCAAAGCGAGGAGTTAAACGGGGCTAAGAGTGAGTGAGGTGGGTTAAACTCCACTTAGAAAGTGAGTGAGGTGGTTTAAACTCCACTTAGAAAGTGTATGAAAGTGAGAGTTATACACCACTTATCACTGGTTGTTGTTTAACATACATTCCAACAGAGGAACACTCACCAACACCACACATTTCAAGCTGTCTAAGATGTTTTAAACTGCCTTAGTTACCTGCTTTGCCCTGTCTTCCACCGAATTTAACACGAGTTTCACTGTTGTTTAACGCCGCACCAAGTCATGTTCCAACAATTTGACGGCGGTAGGTAAATACTCGAGTACGGTTCAGACTATCCAGTGATTATATCAACGGCCATCATCCACACAATACATGAACCATGTCAGCAAGATCTAGGTACTATGGGTTACGACAAGCATGGGTTGCTGAAGACCAGTTCAGTCCTCGATGATCACATACACTTGGTTGTAGAACTGATACTGCTGGTGATGGACACACGGCAAGTAACAGACATGATTGGATTGGGGAACTCAACGCCACAAATATATGGTAATGACGTGTCCAGCTGGTATCCATTTCTCACACTATTAGTCTTCAGTCTGAAGTTCCGATCCTGGTTAGAATTGGTCTTCAGTAACCCGTGGCTGTCGTAAGAGGTGACTAACGGGATCGGGTGGTCAGGCTCGCTGACCTGGTGGACACATATCATCGTATCCCAATTGCGTAGATCGATGCTCATGATGTTGATCACTGGATTGTCTGGTACAGACCCGATTATTTACAGACCGCCGCCATATAGCTGGAATATTGCTGGGTGCGGCGTTAACCAACAACCAACCACATTAAGTTCCGACAGGGCAACACCTGCCAAAACACAACCCATGTACCCGTGGTTGTTTATCGAAGAACGGACCATCCATGTCAAGGGTTGGTTAGTTGATGTCCTGTCAGCCCAACTGAACATCTCTGGTGACGTCCTGGAGCGCCTCACAGTCTGGAGTGGCTATGGTTGCAAGGAACCATCAGACTGGTTGGTTTGTTGTTTAATGCCGCACACATTATTCAACCGATATGGCGGGGGAGGAGCCATCAGGACTCTTGACCAAAACAGTTGGAAAGCAATGATGTTCAAATCTTCTTAGTTTAGTGCAAGAGATAAGCAACTACAATTGACCCCTTTATTATACATTAGTAAAATATAACACATCATTTCTCAATCATTATTACGTTAGATTCATTTGTACACTGTACATTCAAACCACAAAGTTAACAAATGAGTTTTTCATACGTGTTTAACAATAGTCAACCAAGTAGAACGGACAGTATGGTTCTATCCATCACTCCATCTCCACTCCACGTTTCTGGCACTCACACGCTTTATACACAACGGATGACCAAACGCATTAGTGTTATTAAGTATATATTACACATCATCGACCAATATACCAAATACATACCATTCAACTTTTGATAGGACTATGCCTATTTTCCCATGTGCCGACACTGACCATAAACATGAAACATCCCTACAACACGCTGAGCAGTATATGTCTTGAAGACATGGCACAGAATTATACATATCATACGTGAGGTCAATATACAAATGACTTCTTTGCTTTTACTTTTTTTACTTTGACACACACACACACACATTATATATATATACTTAATAACTTAATACGTAAGGGGTTTTCTAAACACTGCTGGCAAGATCTCTTGGGAGTGACATCAAAACTGTACGTAACGTTTCCTACAACAGCCAACTTTTAAATAAATCTGAACACATTAAGATATCACAGCACAACAAATCAGTCACCCGAGGCCATTTAAAAAATATATATTTATCACGTAAGAATCATGGAAGCACGTGATTCATTCATTGTAAACTTCGCCACAACAGCAGCGTTAGTTGTCCCGCTGTAGGGAGCTGGGTGGCAACAGTTGACAACAGCTGACAACACGTCCAAGCTGGGTTCAACAGTTGGTGTGCTGTTCAACACTCACAAACTTCCCGGCAGGACACGTGACTGACAGAGCGGGCCAGACAATCCAGTGATTGACATCATGAGCATCAAGGCATGCAACCTTGATACAATCACATGGATCAACCAAGTCAGTAAGTCTGGCCACCTGATCCCTTAGTTGCCTCTTACAAAACAAACATCACTGGGAATGTATATTCTTACTAGATTCCCCCTGGGTGAACAGATAGGTGGAGTAGACGGTTATTGTTGCTGGTCGATGACTTACAACATGGCATCTTAAAGGAGCTCTGCACACAGCATATTTCCCTGCCACAGATGAGCATCCGCCACGTGCCCGGCTATGGTCATCAACGAGTTAGTCCCACCGCTGTGCTAGCTGCCTTCCAGTTCAGAAACAAAACACAGTGTCACTTTGGAATGGACGCGTTTGCCCTATAGGTATATATCCCAGGTGTTCTGGTTTATACAAGATTTCAAGAACCTCTTTCTCCCACAACTGGGTGAAGACAATGAAAGACAGTTACAAGACGTCTTCTAGAAACTCTATCACCACGTTCTAAATGATTAAACATAACATGAAATCATGTTTGAAGTTGTTTGGACACAGAATTAACTGATAATTACTAGTAATTAGTTCTACTGAGGGATCCTCACTGATATCTACACCTATTGTTGAGTGAGTGAGCTGGGTTAACACCACGTTGGACACCTCTCCAGATGTATCACACTGTGTTAGCTTGGTGTGTGAGTCGTGCACGGAGTGGTGCAGGGCCTCCTTTCACAAAGCACTAAGGTGATCGTAAGTCACTAAGGTAACCTTAGTGCAATGTTAAAGAATGGGAGTTAAGGTTAACCTTAGTAAAGGTTGCTTCGTGAAAGTAGACCCTAGTCTACAAATCTACCATTTTGGTGACACCCACAAGCATTGGTATGGCGCTGACGAACGTACGAACCTATTCGGGGTGAACCACGATATTGGTGTGAGGCTTGCCCAGGGGAGGTAATTCAGCAAAGCGAACTGTGACGCCTACAACAACTACGTCATCCATGCACTCTATTGTTGATGAACATAACACACCCATTTAGGTAGTTTATAACCATACCAATCCGCCAGTCACTAAAGAACCATTCAACAAAATCTGCAATGGCAATTAATCGTATCCAGTATGGTATTGTCTAAATTCAAAGTCACACAGACAGGTGTTTTAGGCACACACTTTAACAAATGCTACAAATGGGGCTCATTGATTCTACCACTGGAATCAACATATTCGGTCGATTTATCGATCTATAACTTTAGTAACCGAGAAGTGTTCTTCTGTACCAGATACAGGAGACAAGAAACAATTCGGATATTTTAAGTCATCTTTAAAATATATCCTTTTCCTCAATATTTGGATACGAGGATTTTTTAAACTATTTATTAAATTGCTCTGGCAGACTAGTAACTGCTGAGGCCTAACACTCTATGACAAATGCCCATTACATGAAGGCTGATACACTCCTACCTACATACCGTCCTGAACAAAGCATTACGACTCACACGTGAGTGTGACAATACCAGCTACACGCTGTGTTGTTCAGCACACAATATCACAGTGCAACCACGGACCTACATCACAAGGCCGCCATAGTGGTGCGACAAACGTCACTCTTACAATACGGGGCACCTGTATATTATCATCTGATCTTCATGACAAGAAATGCAAAGAAAATTCATTAATTACTGATATTTACAAACAACAAAACATTTACAAATTGATAAATAAAAACATTCTAAAAGAACGTGTGTATAATAACTGTGCATACATAAAAATGATAAAGGAGAAAGATGACCCCCAGATGACATTTTTACTAAATACAAAGGAAATCTGCAGACCTGAAAAATTCATCTGTGAAGCAGTCCTCTTCATTACTTTATTAATAAACATTTCTCAAATCTGTAATCTCCCTTGCTGTTTAAAACAAGTGGTCAAAAGATATAAACAATAAATATGCTATCAGAAATATCAGAAAAATTACATTTACTAATGTCTTTATTTATGTCACAGAAATGAAAAATAAATGTACAGAAAGGAACATGCTCTTCAGTCTTGGAATGTCAATCAAAACAAACCCCTCCATTTTGATCTTTTCTGTAACGGAAACTTATAAGGTGTATCAACATTGGTCTGTGGGATATTTTTTTTTCTTTTGGGCGACTTAAATTGAGAAGTATTAGGTGAACCCAATTTTAAAAACACCAGCCAATATTTCTACCTCCGATTGATGTTTGTCATGTTACAGACGTTTCTCAATTCTCAGTGTTAATCTGTTGAGCTATGATTTTATGTCCACTTCAACATCCCTCCAAAACAAGAGTTTAAACAGAAATTACAAGTGAATGACTTTAGTTTTTACACAGCTTTCAGCAATATTACAGCAATATCACGGAAGATATCACCAGAAATGGGCTTCACACATTGTACCCATGTGGGGAATCGAACCCAGGTCTTCCGCGTGATGAGGTTTAACCACTTGGCTACCCCACTGCTCCAGACAGATTATCGAGAGTTACATGGAAAACGAGATATGGATGATACAACATCAAATTGAAAACATGAGAAATGGAGCATCGATTATATGTTAACTGCTACCTTCTGTTGAATACAAATGTTTGTCAACATTTTTTTAACCAACACTAGTTATTCAGATCTTTAAGGCTAAAATCGGTAGCACTTTGAACTGAATTTCAAGAGAGGTACTGATATATATTAATCTCTTCTAACTGGGCATAGTTTTCATCCTTGAATCATACATTTATCATAGTTTCAAAAATATAAAAGGTACCTTTAAATGGAAGATCATCACTGATTATCACTATCATATCTCTTACTATCTTCTCATACTAATACTGAAAAGTTTCACTTTGTTACAAATGATGCTGCCATCTTGGGCAACTCCTGAGGCAGTGCTGAATACTATTTGCATGACAACATCCTCCAGCACACAATCAGGTTCAGTCTACACCTGGACACAGAATATCTCTACACAGGATATGTTGGCTTCTGTGGGAGGGAAGTCTGAAGAGGAGTTCAGGACACGATGCTGCTGAGCAACTCCTGACAGCAAGGGAGGCAACTCTGCTCTGTAAGTCAGAAAACATTTCCAACACCCAAGAATCATAATATATAAGTCTTAAAAAAGATGGATACTCCTTTTGGGAAGTGAAAAATGTTTTTGTGAGTGTCATGTAAAACAGTTATATAGTCTTGTGGACCAGATAATCTGACCTGCGACTTCTTGACGAGTATTTAGGAGGTTTTGCCTTGAGTTTTACAAACATCGCCACAGGCAACCACAATAAATCCTTCCTCTCACTCTCCACACCATTCACACATTCACAGGACATTATTAAATAAATACTTTACATATCCAATATATACATTTTAGTAAATATACAGTCAATATAGTATTTATACACCAGCATCATATACTCAAAGACAAAAGTAACCACCATCATGTTCCTAAACTATCAAACCATGATTTATGAAAACCTCAAAACTCATTTCTTTGGAGATGTAAAACATATCTGAGCTCAATCAGGATTCTTACAAATTATCTGCCATCAAATCTCGGCCCAATGAACTATTTTAAGGCCCTGAAGAAACACATATAAGTAGCTGGATAAACATGGTGTTGGTTGAAGTAGTACCGACCATCAAAGGGAAGTAACTTCTACCTGTATTGCTGGGCTGGGGATTTTTTGCTTTGCCATTGTTGACATGTTTTGCTAAATCTAGGGTCTTTTCAGGGCAAATCACTGGTAATTACGGCCTTTCCAAGGATAAAACAAATCTAGGGCCTTTAGTAACCCTGTCAATATGGATCTGATTAGATTTTAATAATTTTGAAATTTCAACTCATCCAAATTCTGTTTAGGAATTTTTCTGTTCTTTACATGTGATATGGTGAAAAGGTTATAGTGAGGGGAGGGAGGGAGGGAAGGAAGGAGGGAGGAAGGAGGTTTAATGCCAATTTAGCAAAACGTTATGTTATATCATGACTGGGAACAATAAATAAATGGGCAATATATGATTTACTAAATGGAGAGAATCAAACCCAGAACTGTGACATGGGAAGCATGTGCTTCTACCTGTGGGCTACCAATACACCACGAGAAGACAGACTACTTGGTTAAGTCAGAGAGTCACAATCAAAAATATTCAGATTTCAGATATCAATAAATATAAATGATCACAGGTGACTATGGCATTGAGAATACATGAATACCAAAATCACATTCTTCTGAAAAATATCTGTAGCACCAACATGTGGAGGTTGTATTGCTCTGAATAGTCTCAATAACATATGCCACATCTGTATCATCAGTTCTAACCATTGTCAGGTATATAAATATAATGTGTATAGTTTCAACATGGAAGTCTGTATGTAGAGAGAGACTCTCTTGAGGCTTTCAAAGGTGATACTTTGATTATATGACATCCAAAATCTACTAGCTAATAAATATATTACTAACGACCACCTCAAACCTTTGACTGTTATATAAAATAAGTATCAACACATACAAGCACCATAAAAACTGTAAGTTTGTGCAGCACTGTTCTATATATGATATACAGTTGTATTGACTAGTGGTGACTGCAGCTGTTACAAGGGAGTTACCTGCCCTTCTTTAGAAGGAAGTAGTCCCGTGTTTCAGCAATGTGCGTACTTCTCACAGTGTGATATAGTTCCCAACATGTTGCTGTTTAACACACTAAAAGTGACCATACCAAAGTATTTCACCATCAGTGGGCTTCAATAGTGCATGATACATTTCAAAACAAATTCAATTAAAATATTGTCTGTAGGACGTCATCATGTACTTCAGATCAAAACAATACAAAGCTTGCTTCAATTTGTCTGGGGATGTCAGTTTAAACAATGCTAAAATCTGGATATGATCTTTTGGTTTTTATTTTAGTGGTCCAAGTATTTTCGAGAAAATATTTACTGATTAAAACCAATCTTCAGTGTTCTTTGAATTCATCCTATCAACCTATCGACGATACAAGGCCCAACCAATGCCACATTAGTGACCATTGCCTCTGTAAACATTACAAGAGGTTGCAAATTGAATTTACAGGTATCAAATCCCTGTAATCTCATTACACCCTTACTTTTACAATTTGGATCTATCCACTAAACAGGTATATAGTCAGCTGCTTAATGGAGTGGGCATCAGAATAAAAACAGGAATGAAATATGTAAAAAATCAATAATGCTTCACTTTTTACCAGCGAAAAATCCCATCAAAATTGTTAGTAAAGATAAAAGTTCCTTTGCCTCTTTTAATAAATATAAAAGTCACAAGTTAAAATGACCATCACAAACACAATATTTTCTTAAATATCATTCTCCAGGTGTATAAAATTGATATAAGTAGACATCTGTATACTGTTATTCATTTAACAAATATGAATTTCTGATTTAATCTGCCGATACACATCAAGACGTTGTTTGAGGAGTTGTAAAGTTGTAACTTGCATCAGTAAATGATGTTGTAGATGTAGTTGTGGACGTTAAGTTGAGGAGTGCGACGGTGGAGACGCCATGGTCCCCCACCAAGCCGTAGATGGTTCTATAGATGTCATATACAACAGCAAATCCAAAATACACAGGGAGGAGGAACTGCAGATGGCACAGCCACTCAGGGAGGGGGAGCGCTAGATCCAAGCACCTGCAAAGAGTAATGGCAGTGAGGTTTCATGACACTTTCATGAACAGCAAACAACAGTATGGAGATAGAGTCACAGTTATCTCAACCTTAGTGACCAGTATTCTGTCCTGAATCTTCCGCAAATGTTACTGACATAATACTGACGTACATTCTGCAAAGTGCACACTGGATTTTACATAAACACAAACAGTAAACTAGGGTTGTAACAACTCAAAAGGACCACATTTTTATTTTGTTGTAACCTGATGCATTTAGAGCAAAATATACCGCAAGTGACCAGGACCCAAACACTCTCTGTTGTATCCGCTGGTGCATCATAGGCATGTTTAGTATAACCATAGTTTACTGTACAGACGTCCATGGTTAACTCACTGTGTCCATTGTTAACCCACACTGTCCATGGTTAAACCACACTGTCCATGGTTAAACCACACTGTCCATTGTTAACTCACTGTGTCAATTGTTAACCGACACTGTCCATTGTTAACCCACACTGTCCATTGTTAACTCACTGTGTCTATTGTTAACTCACTGTGTACATTGTTAACCCACACTGTCCACTGTTAACTCACTGTGTCAATTGTTAACACACTGTCTATAGTTAACCAACACTGTGTATAGTTAACCCACACTGTCCATTGTTAACCCACACTGTCCATTTTTAACCCACACTGTCTATAGTTAACCCACACTGTCTATAGTTAACCCACACTGTCCACTGTTAACCCACACTGTCCATTGTTAACCCACACTGTCCATTGTTAACCCACACTGTCCATAGTTAACCCACACTGTCTATAGTTAACCCACACTGTCCACAGTTAACCCACACTGTCCATAGTTAACCCACACTGTCCATAGTTAACCCACACTGTCACTGTCCATAGTTAACCCACACTGTCCATAGTTAACCCACACTGTCCACTGTCTTAACCCATAGTTAACCCACTGTCTATAGTTAACCCACACTGTCTATAGTTAACCCACACTGTCCATAGTTAACCCACACTGTCTATAGTTAACCCACACTGTCCACTGTTAACCCACTGTCCATTGTTAACCCACTGTCCATAGTTAACCCACACTGTCCATTGTTAACCCACACTGTCCACAGTTAACCCACACTGTCTACAGTTAACCCACACTGTCTACAGTTAACCCACACTGTCCACTGTTAACCCACACTGTCCATTGTTAACCCACAGTCTATAGTTAACCCACACTGTCCATAGTTAACTCACTGTCTATAGTTAACTCACACTGTCTATAGTTAACCCACACTGTCCATAGTTAACCCACACTGTCTATAGTTAACCCACACTGTCCATTGTTAACCCACACTGTCCATTGTTAACCCACACTGTCTATAGTTAACCCACACTGTCCACTGTTAACCCACACTGTCCATTGTCAACCCACACTGTCCATTGTTAACCCACACTGTCTATAGTTAACCCACACTGTCTATAGTTAACCCACACTGTCCATAGTTAACCCACACTGTCCATTGTTAATCCACACTGTCCATAGTTAGTCCACACTCTATAGTTAACCCACACTGTCTATAGTTAACCCACACTGTCTGTAGTTAACCCACACTGTCTATAGTTAACCCACACTGTCTGTAGTTAACCCACACTGTCTGTAGTTAACCCACACTCTATAGTTAACCCACACTGTCTATAGTTAACCCACACTGTCTGTAGTTAACCCACACTGTCTATAGTTAACCCACACTGTCTATAGTTAACCCACACTGTCTACAGTTAACCCACCTGTTCTCCTTATTTCTGGATCTCAGCAGCATCAGGAAGATGAAGATGCCCGCCTGGGCGTTCAGGGTAAATGAAGCAAACTTCTCCAGGATTTCAACAAAGCCCTGGACAGAAAACAAGTATCAACATATCAAACCAGGGATTGAAAGTCCTGCATGGTAGCGGTGTCGACATGGTTTAAATAGGTCCCTGGGCCCAATCAAATATACATTTATAGTTCTGATAGATTGTGACATTGTTCATGCTTTGTGGGTTGTGCCATACATTGAAGGATTCTTTAGGAAAAACTATTATTTAACATTATCTTGCCTCACACATAAATGTTGTTTTCTGATTGGCTGAACGCTCTTCTATTATTTTCAATGTACCCCGCTTACAAGCGAGTAACATTTTCTATGTACCCCGATGGGAATGCCGAACTCATTTGGTACTTCGCAGTAGTAATTCTTTATCTCCAATAACATTGAATCAAGTATGGTGTAGGGAAATTACTGATGTTTTGCGAATGCAAATCGATTGAAGGGAGATAACTCTAAATTTATTTTTCATGTCGTCTGGTACTCCATACTATGATCCGATACCCGTGCTTCAAACAGTTCAAAATTAACATTGAGGTGTTAGGTAAGATAAATACGTTGTTCACTGGTCCCTCGGGGCCCATGGGTTGATGTACCCTCGATGTTTGTTTATGAACATAAACAAACATTGAGGGTACATCAGCCCATGTCCCCCTCGAGACCAGTGAACAACTTATAACATACCTCATGACACATGACCAATCCATGATATACACAACATACATGTGAACCCATGATAACCACTCCACAATTATAGTTCATATATACAGTAAACACGACATACAGGAAACTTGTCAAACATGACAAACACATGAACAGTAGAAGTTGAGAAAAAATATGTGTATTCAGAAATATTAACAAATGATGCAGTGAACATATTTTCAAAATCATGGATCAAACTAATTGTTGCCATACTGGAACACCAGAGCGCACCTGATCACCATTGTGCAGCAAATTGATAAAATACATTATTAGGAGATAAAAAAATGTTGATGTAAGACTGAAGTATGATTTTATCTTTGATCTACACTTTATTCATAAGCTGATATTTCAAGCAAGTCAAATTTATCTTCAGCGTAACATTTTAGATGCTTCTATTAAAGGTCACATGCAACCAAAAAATCAAACATAATTAAAACACAATTATCACTTATTCATGACATATAATATACATGGCTGGTTATGAAAAAACAAAATTATAAGCGTACAATCGCAAATCAAAAGTGCAATATTGTGTACTTGGGTTTACTTCCCAAGAAACGAAGCAGCCGGAATACCGAACCCAGTCAGAGCGGGTGGGTGTGCACTCAAGTGTAATGGCTGGTTCATTTGCAGATGCCCTCACGGCTCATTGTGTGTGTATATACAGAGATGTTGGGTTTTGTAAATACATGCTCATTTTTTTGTGTACAACATTTAGCAATCAACAGACATCATAACATGTCATGTGTTCAAGTATCACACCTGCCAGTCTGTGTAATTACATGATGTGACAGAGACCGAACTCGGGCATTAAATCAATGCATTTTGTTTATGGTGTATAGCCTGATTGGTGTTAAGTTCAAATTGCATGTGGTCAGTGATAGCAGCTGTGTATTGAATATTGTCAATAGCAGACAGGCAGGCAGACACACAGGTGTCAATAAACAAGACATTGAGTTTTGTCTGTGACAACGACATATCTATATCACAGTTAGAAATTCTGTCAACGCTAAATAATGACATTGCTTTTAAGTATCGAACTGAGAAAGTGACTCGGTAAGAAGAACGTGTGGTGAAATAGACAAATGAAATTATATAAACAGTTAATTTACTGTCATAACATATAAAAAGCTCACGCCTGTGAGATATCAACAAAACATTAGAAAAATAGCTCACACCAAAGCCTTCACCGAGTATTCACCCGCTTCCAAGCTGCGCGAACCTATTTCACTGCGCACGTGCTATGAGCGTAGCCCAGCTGTTGAAACCCGTTTTCCCACGAAAAGTCGGGGGAAAATTAGTGAAACGTTTGAAGTCCGATTTCGCACGGGTTTTTTCATCGCGTTATTTTTCAACTTTATAAGTTGAATTTGCATTTTTGACGATTTGTTTCCGTAAGTCCATACCGAAAGGTATCAGAATCTGCAAAGTTGTGTTTTACGTTGCATGTGACCTTTAAACAACGTACCTGAGGGTCTAACATCGCCACAGTAAAGACGACCACAAAGGCCAGGATGGAGGTGATCACCGTACACAGCCTGAAACAACAAACATGGCTTCAACACACCCACAACTGCATACAATCTTTAATCGTCACATTGAGGAGGCCAGAGGCCCAATTCATACAGTTTGTTAAAGCTACAGAACATGGGATCAATCAACAAAGATGCACTACGTGTAAAGTCGGTGAAAGGTCAAAACATTTGACATTTTGGTATTTTGCTAGGAAATCACTGCATGCTAGACCATACAAAATGTAAATTTCTGAATAAATTTGATATTTTATACTTATCCTGACTCATGCTTATTGCTTGTCTTCTTCCTCTTGCGAACCTAGTGGAACACTTGTATCTCCTTCAATAAAACATACGTAAAATCACTACTCACCAGAGTTATCCCTGTTTTCCGTTTTGGCGGGAAAAGTGGCGCCACCGTACTCCCACGCTTCACTCTCTCCTGATTATCAGCCCGACACTTGAATTTGCAGGGAAATCCAAAGTGTCTAGTGGGGAGGTTGGGAGGGCTTACCTCATGAGTCAGGATAAGTATAAAATATCAAATTTATTCAGAAATTTACATATTTTTCCTTATCCTGACTCATGCTTATTGCTTGTAGAATCCGACGGATTGGAGGCGGGAAAAATACTTTAGGATTTCATGTAGTGATTTACGTCAATATATACCCCCCTATGGGAACTTCGTATTGGCACTGAATTTACTGCTAATCTCTGCTGCTGTTTGCGACCCTGTCCTTCCAGCTGCCTTTTGACGGGGGACCACAATTGTTAACTTTTGGTCCTTTCTTCTGTTAACATTTTATGTGGATTTTGTGACTCCATCTCTTGATGCAAGCATCAAGTGGAGAAGCGACCCTTTGCTGTAAGAGTATTCTTACAAGTACTGGGTCATATCACTTATGCTAGTCGTTAGACGTGCATTGAGACTTAAGCAGAACTCTGCTGAGTGTAGGCTTGGTAAGTCATGTGATAAAAGAGCGAGACTACGTCTCAACGTCTTTGAGGAACTGTCAACTGTTGTGCTACAACCAGTGGGCCGAAATGGTGAATGCCTGAGACGTCCTCGGTGGCGATATCTCTCAAGTAGTGGTTTGCAAACACCATGTCTGATTTCCAGAAGCAGCCCTCCATTATCGTCTTGAGCGAGCAATTCCCATGTAGAGCGAGTGTTGATGCCAGAGCTCTAACTTCGTGTGGGTTGGAGGCTCTTGGAGGATCAAGTCCTGCTGCTTTGTAGGCCCGTAGTATGACAGTTCTGATCCAGATTGATATCGTAGTGCGGGACACCTCCGTCTGTGTCGCTGTCGATATCGGGACGAAAAGTCGCTTGAACTTGCGACTCCTAGTTCTGGATCGTTGTAGATATACTTGCAATGCTCTCACTGGGCACAAGGATAAGTCATGCGTATCTTGTGGTGCAAGGACGGAGGATAGATTCTTTGCGATGAAATCCCATCGTAGTCCCATATGCACTGTGTTTTGATTTTCATCAAAGCCTGTTCTCTCGTAGTCTAGAGAATGTATTTCCGACATCCTGGCTGCTGTTGCTAGGGCTAGCAGGAACAGCGTCTTTTGAGTCAAGAATTCGAAGGATGTCGTCTCTAATGGTTCATAGACTTCACTGGTGAGATGTCGTAGAACAACGTTGAGGTCCCACGCCGGAGCTTTGAATCTCTGTTGTTGGTCCTCCAATTTATAAGAGCGTAGCAAGGCCAGTAACTCTGGTACTTTCGTTAGCTTGGCACCTGTCCTCATAGTGATGACTGAGCTCAATGCCGCTAGGTATGTTGCAAGTGTAGACCCTTTTAGCCGTTTTGTTTGCCGTAGGTGACAAAGGTAGTCCGCCACTTGAGGGTGTGTTGCTTTTCTAGCTAAGAACCCGTTCCTTGCAGCGTATGTTGTCGTACAAGGTGCGTGTAGACTTGCGTAGAGCTAGTGAGCTTAGAGCTAGTGTCACTGCTGCTCTGGTGGAGTACCCTCTCTTGTTCAAGCACACCTTGATACAGTCCACACGTGTAGTTGGAACGCCCCTGGGTTGCCATGCGCCTGCTTTGTGTGAGGATGTACTAGTAGATTCGGCCACTCTGGTAGTTGCAGCTGTGGTGGTCCTAGTTCTTGTATGAGGATGGGGAACCACACTCTCGCTGGCCAGTAGGGCGCGACCAAAATCAGTTGGAGGTTCTTGGTCTGGCTGATTTTCTGCAACACCCTCGGTACTAGCGCTGGCGGTGGAAATGCGTACGCGTTTTCCCCAGGATATGCTGAGAGCGTCCGTTGCCCACGCTCGTGGATCTGGTACTGGAGAGACGAATGTTGTCAGCTGATTGTTGAGGCGTGTGGCCAAGAGGTCTATTAGAGGGGTTCCTATCTCCTTGATGATCTGTTTGAAGATCTCGGGATGTAGCATCCATTCCGTTGGAGATGGTTGAGTTGGACGGGAGAGGGCGTCTGCTATGACATTCTTGGCTCCTGGAATGTGGCATGCTCTTATGTGGATGTTCAGATCGTCGATTAGGTTGAACAGTTGAAAGCAGAGGTCCAGCAGGTTCAATGATCGTGTTGATCCTTGCTTGTTTATGTAGAACGCCACTGTGGAGTTGTCCATGTGTACCATGAGATGCGCATTCTGTAGAATGTTGCTCCAGTGGAATATGGCGTTGATGACTGCTTTCATTTCCAGCATGTTGATGTGCAAACTTTTCTCTTCCTTGGTCCATTTCCCGGCCGCCACATCGTTGTCGAGGTGTGCTCCCCAACCTTGGCGTGATGCGTCCACATACAGATGAGTCTTGCACTCCGGCTCTGCTAAATAGATGCCTTCGCAGACATTCGATCTCTGGGTCCACCATAGTAGATGAGGTCTGAGGTAGTCCGGGAGACCGAATGGGTCTGGGTCGTCGAGATGAGCATTGATGAGGACCTGTAACGGGCGTAGCTGTAATCTCCCTCTGGCTGTCATGTCTTGTGAGGACGTGAGGAGACCCAACAGACTCTGCCACTGTCGTAGTGGCCACGGAGAGAGTAGGGCTTGTGAGATTGTCAGTTGAATCTTGAGCCATCGGTCCTCTGGTACGACGATGCGGTTCTGCGTCGTGAGAAATCTGATGCCTAGGAATTGCAGGTCCTGTGTAGGTTCTAGGTCTGACTTGAGCAGATTTACTAACCACCCCAGCTGTGTGAGCAGTTTGATGGTGAAGTTCAACTGTAGTCTGAGATTCTTGGGATCTTGATGTACTTGAATCCCGTCGTCAAGGTAGAAGGCACTGCGTAGACCTCAATGATGTAGATATGTGACTATGGGTTTCGTCACCCTTGTAAACAACCAGGGGGCAGATGATATTCCAAATGGCAGGACCTTCCATTGGTAGTGTAGCCCGTCCAGTGTAAACCTGAGGTACTTCCTCGAGTCTGGATGTACAGGAATATGCAGGAAGGCATCCTGTAGATCTATGCTGGCCATGTAGTCCATCGGACGGACGAGGTGGATTAGTTGAGGTAGATGTATCATGCGGAACTTGGGAGGTCTGCTTAGATAGTCTCTGTTGGACGTGCTCATATTGTAGATGAGTCGGAACTTTTCTTTGGAGTTTTTCTTGGGCACTAGGAAAACTGGGGAGTAGAAACCTGGTGTGATGTTGGCTTGATCCACAACCTCTATGGCTCGCTTTACTAGTAGAGATGAGACCGCCTCTCGTAACTTCTCTATCTGATGGGTCTGGAAGTCGAACTTGTGAGGGTCGACTGTAAGCGGTAAGTTGTATGCGATATCTGTCTCTTAGGATGCTGGATACAAACGGATCTTGCAGTATTCCCCAGTTTTCCCAGTACAGCTGAAGACGTCCACCCACTTGTGAAGGTTGTACAGGAACGGCTGGGGGGTGGAAGACTCCAGTCGTTCCGAACCCTTCTTTCATCGTCGATGATCCCTGGCGCCTCTGGGTGCCCTGCCTCGTCCGGACCTTGCTCTGTAATTGCCGGTTGGGCGACGAAAGGAATCTTTTCCGCCTCTGGAGGTACCCACTTTCTTGTCCCGTGCTTTCTGTATCCCGGGAAAAAACATCACCATCAATACAATCAATCAATACATCAATACAAAAGCAATCATCATATGTTCAGGGTGAATTTGCTATAATGTATCTGTTATCCTTACCAAAGGCTAATATGTATACCAGTACTTGTATTCAGATGCACTTATCAAATTTTATTATACTTATATGACATCTAGGTTGGTATAATTAGCAAAAAGTGTATGGAAGGAAGACCAGAAGGCATAAAATTTTGATGGGTTTGCATTTGAAAATGCTGTATATTTGGTAGCTTTGTAATAATTGAGTATTTCCCTTTGAAGCACTCTAAAATCTGGCTTTATATTATTTCGCCTTTTTTTATATAGCATGTATTTCACTATTAGAAACACCAGGTTAAGTGGGTTGTTGTTTTTACCTTTGAAACCAAAGATAATATTTTCGTGCGACAAATCAATATTTCCTTCAGACAGTATATCCAGCCAATCGGATACCTCCCTCCATACTTTCACAGTATATCGACATTCACACAATAAATGAATAATTGTTTCAGGAGCAGATTCACAGAATGTGCACATTGAAGAGTCAGTGTAATTCATCAAATGTAACTTATGTTTAGTCGTTAAAATATTGTGCGTAATCTTGAAATGAAACCATCTTAACTGTACACTTTCTGTACATCTATTTGCCATTAAATATATGTTAGACCAGTCTTCTTTGTTATATTGTTTATTGAGGATGTGTTCCCACTTTTTTTTGGCTTGTTGGTCCAGTTTCAACTAGAGGTATAAGTATGTTATAAAAGGATTTACTCCTTTGGTTTTGTCCGCAGATACAAGATATATTAAAAGGTAATGTTGGGTATTTAACCTGATAGGAGACCTTGTCGACGTGCTAGTGTCAGCGCTGTGGAGATGGATGAGAGATGGTCTGTCATAAACTGTTGGTCCTTCTTCTGCATAAGGAGGGCCGAGTATATCATCCTGTCTTCTTCCGCAGTAGAGTCTCAGAATTTAGCGATGAGCGTTTCGTTGACTGCCCTTGATCTGTTGAGGCCAAAGAACATCCGTCTGGTCATAGTTTCGACTTGTGCCAACTTCTTGTCTTCGATTTTGTAAGACTTGGCCTTCGCATCACTGATGACTTTAAAGTTCTCATCGATGTCCTGTGCCTTTAGGAACGGATCCATATTGTGGAAAGAGAACTTTTTGGCGTTGAAATGTGGCAGATGCGTCGCCTGGGCTTTCGTAGCTTTCTTGAAGGCTGCGTCCAAGTTGTCTGGGACCGCTGCGATGGGATCAATCGGAGGGAGAGTGATCGTATCAACATCATCATCTTGCATGAGATAGGTATGAGCCATATTATCGTCCTTAGAGGGTGATGCCAAGTCTAGACCGTTGGCCATCCAGTAGCGTATTTCAGAGTCCGAGAAGATGATCCCGCAGTCGTCCTCAGTGACAGGAGTGCTGAGAAAGGGACGTTGATCCTCATCCGATGGTGATCTAGGTGGAGACCGCGACTGCGGGGATCTGTGTGGAGTCCTGCACGGAGATCTGCGTGGAGAGTGGCCTGGCGAACTGCGTCTGTAGGGTGACCTGCGCGGAGACCTGCGTGGAGATGAGCGACTGTGAGTTCGTGATTGCCTCGGTGAATCCCTTGACGATCTGCGTAATGCGGAAGATGTCTTGGATACTGTATCTGTAGCCTTTCGCGAGTGCCTTCGCGAATACTGATCATCTGAGTCCGCATCTGTGGATAGGCGACTGGTCCTTCGCGAGCGTTTTCGCAAATGCTGGTCGTCTGATTCTGTATCCGGGGATGGGCGAGACTTCCTTCGCGAATGCTGATCGTCCGAATCCGTAGCATGGGGTGACTGAGTCGTCCTTCGTGAGTGCCTTCGTGGATGCTGATCGTCCGAGTCCGCCGCAGGGGATGGTTGAATCGACCTTCGCGCAGGCTGGTCCTGATGAGTAGATCTGTTGCCAGACGTCACGTTGATGGATGGCCCCTCAGAAGCGTCGACTGCGTTGGAGTCTTCGCGAAGACTCGGGTCATCTCTGTGGGCTGGCTGTGATCTCTTCTCCAGGCCAAAGCGCTGCTCCATCATTTCAATAATCTGTTGGGAAAACTGCTGCATGAAGTCCCCCGGGTTGAATGTCTGCGGTGGTAGTAGCGCTGCCCTTTCTGCGGTGGTAGCGATGTGGCCCACGGGTCGCTCATCTGTCGTCAGCGTAGACCCCTCGGGTTGCGTGGAGATCTGCGCTGAAGTCACCGTAGCTGAGACTGGTCTCTTCTTGTGATGAATCTCTGGGATGACGATCGGCTGGTCATCGTAGAGTCCCAGTTCCGTCAATGGGACAATCTCGGATGAGAAGGTCCGTTTCGTCTGAGCTGACTTCCCCGTGGAGGTGGTCGACGCCCTGGGGGTACGGAGTCGGCGCTGGGTAGATGACGACTTCCTAGTCTTAGGCTGCGACAAAGGGACGTCCGGAGTAGCAGGTCTCTTCTTGGAGATTGCGGACATAGTCCCACACCCCTCCGCCGAGGGAAACTCCAGCGTAACACCAGACGGAAGGGAGTCGTCAGACATCAGTTGACTGTTGAGGGACTCAGCTGGTTTATCTGACATGACCTGACCAACCCGTCTCGACCTATCTGCAGCACGCCTAAGGACACAAAGAAGGTATTTATTAAATGCAGATTTAGTTAAATGCTGGCAATTAATGCAGCGCGAGCTGGAAGAACATGGTACCGTGCAGCTAGGGCACACTGGATGAGGGTCAGCAGCAGAGAAACGAAATCTACAATTGAAACAGGTTTTCATGAAAACGTAAACAACTGAACAAACACGGACTAAACCGTGAATAAACAGTGCTAAATACGAATAAATATCAAACCATATTGTTGAAAGATACTAGCTAAACCTCTATAAAGTATAATAGAGGGGACTAACTAAATAATAAAAGGATATAGTGCCGTATAAGGAGACACAGGCGCTCTCACAACCTGCTCACAGGGCGAAGAAGGAGAGAGTGAAGCGTGGGAGTTTGGTGGCGCCACTTTTCCCGCCAAAACGGAAAACAGGGATAACTCTGGTGAGTAGTGATTTTACGTATGTTTTATTGAAGGGAGCTTCAATAAGGAGATACAAGTGTTCCACTAGGTTCGCAAGAGGATGAAGACAAGCAATAAGCATGAGTCAGGATAAGGAAAAATAAGTAATATTAATCTTTAATTCCATCATTTTTTCAAATCCTGCAAAGTCCATGTTCTTCTAAATAACAATATATCTCCTTGCTAATCTAGATCATATGAGTTGCAACAAAATTGAGAAAGAGCTATTCTGAACATGTGTATATGAATATTTATAGGATAAGGCTCTAAATGAGTAAAGGTTTTTCAACATTAATTTAACACGTTTTACCACTAATCTGACAGCGTTATCCAAGTGATATCCAAAGAATATTAGAAAACATTTTGATTATGTGATAAAACTACCGACTAATACTGGATACAAAACAAGAATCTGAAGCTACTGATCAGAGTGATATCATCACCATCCGAAGCACTCATAAAATCTCAAGCATCAAGTCCAAATCGTTTCAATGGAAATTATTAAAATTAAAAATGCCAAAAATCTGCAAATAGCAAAAGGCAATACTTCAAGATCTGTTTGATATATCTGTCAAGTCTTGTAGAAAGATATTGAACGGTTTTCGAGTTGTGATCCGGAAACGAAACCCACCCCTCCCTTTTGAGACTAAGTCTAAATCGTTTTCATGGAAACCAAGAAAAATAAAAATAACAAAAACCTACAAATAGCAAAAGGCACCACTTTAGGTTCTGTTTGATATATCTGTCAAGTCTTGCAGAAAGATATTGAACGGTTTCCAAGTTGTGCTCCGAAAACGAAGTTCACCCCTCTCTTTTGATACTACTTGTCCGAAACATTTCCATGGAAACCAATAAAAATACAAATGACAAAAATCTGCAAATAGCAAAAGACATCACTTTGGGATCTGCCTCACATATCTGCCAAGTTTTACTGAAAGATATTAAGAAGTTTTCGAGTTGTGCTCCGGCAACGAAGCCCACCCTTACCTTTTGAGACTAAGTCCGAATAGTTTCCATGGAAACCGAAAAATAATAAATCACGAAAGTCTGTAAATAGCAAAAGGCACTACTTTAGGTTCTGTTTGATATATCTTCAAAGTTTTGCAGAAAAATATTGAAAGGTTTTGAGTTATGCTCCGGAAACGAAGTCCACCCCTCCCTTTAAGACTAAGTCCAAAACATTTTCATGGAAACCGAGAACTTTTTAAATCACTAAAATATATTAATGTTGAATGTGATGCTATGAATACTTTATTTAAAAAACTGAAGAGAAACTGTAGCACGGCATGTTGACAAAAATCCTATTCGGTCGAACGAGGGACCCCATTGTGCAGAATTGCAAGCCTGACACTGAGAAGTATGGACATAGGTTTGAAGCTTACTACAATAGGGGGTTTATGCACTACATCCCGATATCAAATTTTCAAGATTAGACTCATAGTGACGAAAAACATTATGTACCAAAGCCTATTCGTCTCCCCTCGCCGCCATCTTTGACGATTTGTATGCTGTTTCGGGATGCTATGACTGCCGTGTTGGGATGCTATGAAGGCCGTTTTGTACACTTTGACCGTTTTGTCTCATGCGCTCTTGTAGCTGATACGCGAGTTTTGTTTCCATTTCAAACGATTAGTCTTCCATTACAGATGTATTGTTTCGGTTTTAGAGGATATTGTTGCAGTTTTGGTGATTTTTGTTCTGTTTGTGGTGCATATGAGATCAGTTTTGATGATTTGTTCACCGTTTGTATGGTAGGCCTGGACAGTAGCACCATATAAATGTATATACATGTAATGTAATGTAATCACTACTGGAAAACAAGGATAAGTTGGTCCGGCGCAGAGAACGCGTTTATGAGAAGTAGGCGGTGCACGGCAATGAGCAAACCCATTTGGTTTCTGAAAGGTAGAGCAGATGCAGGCTAGTGCACGTTCATTGCATGACTATGAAATCGATTCCGCGTGTAGCTGCACACCCCTTGCTCAGAAGACTCTCATGCAAATCACACGACACTTGATCGCGTTCAACCTGGGGCCCCTTCACTTGATCGTGATCAGCCTGGGGCCCCTTCACTTGATCGCGATCAGCCTGGGGCCCCTTCACTTGATCGTGATCAGCCTGGGGCCCCTTCACTTGATCGTGATCAGCCTGGGGCCCCTTCACTTGATCGTGATCAGCCTGGGGCCCCTTCACTTGATCGTGATCAGCCTGGGGCCCCTTCACAAACAATGGCAAGCACCAGTGGGTGGCATTCATACATGCTAATATGAGTCAGTTGTCAGGTCGGTGCTCAACTTATCCTTGTTTGCCAGTAGGACTCTATGATGTATTGGTATGTTACACCAATCAGTAGACATGATATCAATGAGCTTCTGCTTACAATGGCATCTAGTTTTTATCTGTTGCTGCCACAAATGTAAATCATAAACTGACATAAACTACATACACAACCGATTGGCAATCAAAGAGCATTGCAGTGGAGTTAATGCATTAGTGCAACCTGCATTTGATCAAAAACATCAATCACTGAAAGAAATGCATAAATGCAAATTCTTTCAAACTGACCATTTCCCATTGATGCAGCTGCAGGTGTCGGGGTTCCGGAACTTGGGGATTAACTTGGCGAAGGAATCCTTGGTCCAGCTCGACTCCACCCAGCCAGACACTGCACAGAGATGATGTCAGCGTCAACACACAATACATGACCTTGACACTCAGGTCTGTTTAGTTTGTTCAGCTACCTTCTATTATTGTACACATACAGTATGGGAATCATATTGTGTATAACATATGAAGCTGTGTGACAAAAGGCATCAGATTTCCCTATTGTTAACACATGTGCTCTTAAAATCCATGCAAGTTTTAACTGTCTGACAAGTGACTGATCTTGCTGGCAATTTCACTACTGTGTGATATGCAACATTGCTGGTATTGCGAGATACGATACTGTTATACTGATGACTATATACAGCTGTCCTATCAACTACTTACATGTATGATGTAATGCTGTTCCTATCGTAAGATATGATACTGTTATACTGATGACTATATACAGCTGTCCTATCAACTACTTACATGTATGATGTAATGCTGTTCCTATCGTGAGATACGATACTGTTATATTGATGACTATATATACAGCTGTCCTGTCAACTACTTACATGTATGGTGTAATGCTGTTCCTATCGTGAGATATGATACTGTTATACTGATGACTATATGTACAGCTGTCCTGTCAACTACTTACATGTATGGTGTAATGCTGTTCCTATCGTGAGATATGATACTGTTATATTGATATCTATATACTGCCACCCTGTCAACTACTTACATGTATAGTGTAATACTGTTCCTATCGTGAGATATGATACTGTTATATTGATGACTATATACTGCCACCCTGTCAACTACTTACATGTATGGTGTAATGCTGTTCCTATCGTGAGATACGATACTGTTATATTGATGACTATATATACAGCTGTCCTGTCAACTACTTACATGTATGATGTAATGCTGTTCCTATCGTGAGATACGATACTGTTATATTGATGACTATATATACAGCTGTCCTGTCAACTACTTACATGTATGATGTAATGCTGTTCCTATCGTAAGATATGATACTGTTATACTGATGACTATATACAGCTGTCCTGTCAACTACTTACATGTATGGTGTAATGCTGTTCCTATCGTGAGATACGATACTGTTATATTGATGACTATATATACAGCTGTCCTGTCAACTACTTACATGTATAGTGTAATGCTGTTCCTATCGTGAGATATGATACTGTTATACTGATGACTATATACAGCTGTCCTGTCAACTACTTACATGTATAGTGTAATGCTGTTCCTATCGTAAGATATGATACTGTTATACTGATGACTATATACAGCTGTCCTGTCAACTACTTACATGTATGGTGTAATGCTGTTCCTATCGTGAGATACGATACTGTTATATTGATGACTATATATACAGCTGTCCTGTCAACTACTTACATGTATGATGTAATGCTGTTCCTATCGTGAGATACGATACTGTTATACTGATGACTATATACAGCTGTCCTGTCAACTACTTACATGTATGGTGTAATGCTGTTCCTATCGTGAGATACGATACTGTTATATTGATGACTATATATACAGCTGTCCTGTCAACTACTTACATGTATGATGTAATGCTGTTCCTATCGTAAGATATGATACTGTTATACTGATGACTATATACAGCTGTCCTGTCAACTACTTACATGTATGATGTAATGCTGTTCCTATCGTGAGATACGATACTGTTATACTGATGACTATATATACAGCCACCCTGTCAACTACTTACATGTATGATGTAATGCTGTTCCTATCGTGAGATACGATACTGTTATACTGATGACTATATATACAGCCACCCTGTCAACTACTTACATGTATAGTGTAATACTGTTCCTATCGTGAGATATGATACTGTTATATTGATGACTATATACAGCCACCCTGTCAACTACTTACATGTATGGTGTAATGCTGTTCCTATCGTAAGATATGATACTGTTATACTGATGACTATACATACAGCCACCCTGTCAACTACTTACATGTATGGTGTAATGCTGTTCCTATCGTAAGATATGATACTGTTATACTGATGACTATATACAGCTGTCCTGTCAACTACTTACATGTATGGTGTAATGCTGTTCCTATCGTGAGATACGATACTGTTATATTGATGACTATATATACAGCTGTCCTGTCAACTACTTACATGTATGATGTAATGCTGTTCCTATCGTGAGATACGATACTGTTATACTGATGACTATATACAGCTGTCCTGTCAACTACTTACATGTATGGTGTAATGCTGTTCCTATCGTGAGATACGATACTGTTATATTGATGACTATATATACAGCTGTCCTGTCAACTACTTACATGTATGATGTAATGCTGTTCCTATCGTAAGATATGATACTGTTATACTGATGACTATATACAGCTGTCCTGTCAACTACTTACATGTATAGTGTAATACTGTTCCTATCGTGAGATATGATACTGTTATATTGATGACTATATACAGCCACCCTGTCAACTACTTACATGTATGATGTAATGCTGTTCCTATCGTAAGATATGATACTGTTATACTGATGACTATACATACAGCCACCCTGTCAACTACTTACATGTATAGTGTAATGCTGTTCCTATCGTGAGATACGATACTGTTATACTGATGACTATACATACAGCCACCCTGTCAACTACTTACATGTATGGTGTAATGCTGTTCCTATCGTGAGATACGATACTGTTATACTGATGACTATATACAGCCACCCTGTCAACTACTTACATGTATGATGTAATGCTGTTCCTATCGTAAGATATGATACTGTTATACTGATGACTATACATACAGCCACCCTGTCAACTACTTACATGTATGGTGTAATGCTGTTCCTATCGTGAGATACGATACTGTTATACTGATGACTATACATACAGCCACCCTGTCAACTACTTACATGTATGGTGTAATGCTGTTCCTATCGTGAGATACGATACTGTTATACTGATGACTATACATACAGCCACCCTGTCAACTACTTACATGTATGGTGTAATGCTGTTCCTATCGTGAGATACGATACTGTTATACTGATGACTATATACAGCCACCCTGTCAACTACTTACATGTATGATGTAATGCTGTTCCTATCGTAAGATATGATACTGTTATACTGATGACTATACATACAGCCACCCTGTCAACTACTTACATGTATGGTGTAATGCTGTTCCTATCGTGAGATACGATACTGTTATACTGATGACTATACATACAGCCACCCTGTCAACTACTTACATGTATGGTGTATCGCTGTTCCTATCGCGGAGATAATGATACTGTTATACTGATGACTATATACAGCCACCCTGTCAACTACTTACATGTATGATGTAATGCTGTTCCTATCGTGAAGATATGATACTGTTATACTGATGACTATACATACAGCCACCCTGTCAACTACTTACATGTATGGTGTAATGCTGTTCCTATCGTGAGATAATGATACTGTTATACTGATGACTATACATACAGCCACCCTGTCAACTACTTACATGTATGGTGTAATGCTGTTCCTATCGCGGAGATACTGATACTGTTATACTGATGACTATATACAGCCACCCTGTCAACTACTTACATGTATGATGTAATGCTGTTCCTATCGTAAGATATGATACTGTTATACTGATGACTATACATACAGCCACCCTGTCAACTACTTACATGTATGGTGTAATGCTGTTCCTATCGTAAGATATGATACTGTTATACTGATGACTATATACAGCTGTCCTGTCAACTACTTACATGTATGGTGTAATGCTGTTCCTATCGTGAGATACGATACTGTTATACTGATGACTATATACAGCCACCCTGTCAACTACTTACATGTATGATGTAATGCTGTTCCTATCGTAAGATATGATACTGTTATACTGATGACTATACATACAGCCACCCTGTCAACTACTTACATGTATGGTGTAATGCTGTTCCTATCGTAAGATATGATACTGTTATACTGATGACTATATACAGCCACCCTGTCAACTACTTACATGTATGGTGTAATGCTGTTCCTATCGTGAGATACGATACTGTTATACTGATGACTATATACAGCCACCCTGTCAACTACTTACATGTATGATGTAATGCTGTTCCTATCGTGAGATACGATACTGTTATATTGATGACTATATATACAGCTGTCCTGTCAACTACCTACATGTATGATGTAATACTGTTCCTATCGTGAGATACGATACTGTTATACTGATGACTATATACAGCCACCCTGTCAACTACTTACATGTATGGTGTAATGCTGTTCCTATCGTGAGATACGATACTGTTATACTGATGACTATATACAGCCACCCTGTCAACTACTTACATGTATGATGTAATGCTGTTCCTATCGTAAGATATGATACTGTTATACTGATGACTATACATACAGCCACCCTGTCAACTACTTACATGTATGGTGTAATGCTGTTCCTATCGTAAGATATGATACTGTTATACTGATGACTATATACAGCCACCCTGTCAACTACTTACATGTATGGTGTAATGCTGTTCCTATCGTGAGATACGATACTGTTATACTGATGACTATATACAGCCACCCTGTCAACTACTTACATGTATGGTGTAATGCTGTTCCTATCGTAAGATATGATACTGTTATACTGATGACTATACATACAGCCACCCTGTCAACTACTTACATGTATGGTGTAATGCTGTTCCTATCGTGAGATACGATACTGTTATACTGATGACTATACATACAGCCACCCTGTCAACTACTTACATGTATGGTGTAATGCTGTTCCTATCGTGAGATACGATACTGTTATACTGATGACTATATACAGCCACCCTGTCAACTACTTACATGTATGATGTAATGCTGTTCCTATCGTAAGATATGATACTGTTATACTGATGACTATACATACAGCCACCCTGTCAACTACTTACATGTATGGTGTAATGCTGTTCCTATCGTGAGATACGATACTGTTATACTGATGACTATATACAGCTGTCCTATCAACTACTTACATGTATGGTGTAATGCTGTTCCTATCGTAAGATATGATACTGTTATACTGATGACTATATACAGCTGTCCTGTCAACTACTTACATGTATGGTGTAATGCTGTTCCTATCGTGAGATACGATACTGTTATACTGATGACTATATACAGCTGTCCTATCAACTACTTACATGTATGGTGTAATGCTGTTCCTATCGTAAGATATGATACTGTTATACTGATGACTATATACAGCTGTCCTATCAACTACTTACATGTATGGTGTAATGCTGTTCCTATCGTAAGATATGATACTGTTATACTGATGACTATATACAGCTGTCCTGTCAACTACTTACATGTATGGTGTAATGCTGTTCCTATCGTGAGATACGATACTGTTATATTGATGACTATATATACAGCTGTCCTGTCAACTACTTACATGTATGATGTAATGCTGTTCCTATCGTGAGATACGATACTGTTATACTGATGACTATATACAGCTGTCCTGTCAACTACTTACATGTATGGTGTAATGCTGTTCCTATCGTGAGATACGATACTGTTATATTGATGACTATATATACAGCTGTCCTGTCAACTACTTACATGTATGATGTAATGCTGTTCCTATCGTGAGATATGATACTGTTATACTGATGACTATATACAGCTGTCCTGTCAACTACTTACATGTATGGTGTAATGCTGTTCCTATCGTGAGATACGATACTGTTATACTGATGACTATATATACAGCCACCCTGTCAACTACTTACATGTATAGTGTAATACTGTTCCTATCGTGAGATATGATACTGTTATATTGATGACTATATACAGCTGTCCTGTCAACTACTTACATGTATGGTGTAATGCTGTTCCTATCGTGAGATACGATACTGTTATATTGATGACTATATACAGCCACCCTGTCAACTACTTACATGTATGGTGTAATGCTGTTCCTATCGTGAGATATGATACTGTTATACTGATGACTATATATACAGCCACCCTGTCAACTACTTACATGTATAGTGTAATACTGTTCCTATCGTGAGATATGATACTGTTATATTGATGACTATATACAGCCACCCTGTCAACTACTTACATGTATGGTGTAATGCTGTTCCTATCGTGAGATATGATACTGTTATATTGATGACTATATACAGCCACCCTGTCAACTACTTACATGTATAGTGTAATGCTGTTCCTATCGTGAGATATGATACTGTTATATTGATGACTATATACAGCTGTCCTGTCAACTACTTACATGTATGATGTAATGCTGTTCCTATCGTGAGATACGATACTGTTATATTGATGTCTATACATACAGCCACCCTGTCAACTACTTACATGTATGGTGTAATGCTGTTCCTATCGTGAGATACGATACTGTTATACTGATGACTATATACAGCTGTCCTGTCAACTACTTACATGTATGGTGTAATGCTGTTCCTATCATGAGATACGATACTGTTATATTGATGACTATATACAGCCACCCTGTCAACTACTTACATGTATGGTGTAATACTGTTCCTATCGTGAGATATGATACTGTTATATTGATGACTATATACAGCTGTCCTGTCAACTACCTACATGTATGATGTAATACTGTTCCTATCGTGAGATACGATACTGTTATACTGATGACTATATATACAGCTGTCCTGTCAACTACTTACATGTATGATGTAATACTGTTCCTATCGTGAGATATGATACTGTTATATTGATGACTATATATACAGCTGTCCTGTCAACTACTTACATGTATGATGTAATACTGTTCCTATCGTGAGATACGATACTGTTATACTGATGACTATATACAGCTGTCCTGTCAACTACTTACATGTATGGTGTAATACTGTTCCTATCGTGAGATACGATACTGTTATACTGATGACTATATACAGCTGTCCTGTCAACTACTTACATGTATGGTGTAATGCTGTTCCTATCATGACATACGATACTGTTATACTGATGACTATATACAGCCACCCTGTCAACTACTTACATGTATGGTGTAATACTGTTCCTATCGTGAGATATGATACTGTTATATTGATGACTATATACAGCTGTCCTGTCAACTACTTACATGTATGATGTAATACTGTTCCTATCATGACATACGATACTGTTATACTGATGACTATATATACAGCCACCCTGTCAACTACTTACATGTATGGTGTAATACTGTTCCTATCGTGAGATATGATACTGTTATATTGATGACTATATACAGCCACCCTGTCAACTACTTACATGTATGGTGTAATGCTGTTCCTATCGTGAGATACGATACTGTTATACTGATGACTATATACAGCTGTCCTGTCAACTACTTACATGTATGGTGTAATGCTGTTCCTATCGTGAGATACGATACTGTTATATTGATGACTATATATACAGCTGTCCTGTCAACTACTTACATGTATGATGTAATACTGTTCCTATCGTGAGATATGATACTGTTATATTGATGACTATATACAGCCACCCTGTCAACTACTTACATGTATGGTGTAATGCTGTTCCTATCGTGAGATACGATACTGTTATACTGATGACTATATACAGCTGTCCTGTCAACTACTTACATGTATAGTGTAATGCTGTTCCTATCGTGAGATACGATACTGTTATATTGATGACTATATATACAGCTGTCCTGTCAACTACTTACATGTATGGTGTAATGCTGTTCCTATCGTGAGATACGATACTGTTATATTGATGACTATATACAGCCACCCTGTCAACTACTTACATGTATGGTGTAATGCTGTTCCTATCGTGAGATACGATACTGTTATATTGATGACTATATACAGCCACCCTGTCAACTACTTACATGTATGATGTAATGCTGTTCCTATCGTGAGATACGATACTGTTATATTGATGACTATATACAGCCACCCTGTCAACTACTTACATGTATGATGTAATGCTGTTCCTATCGTGAGATACGATACTGTTATACTGATGACTATAAATAGTTCCACCAAAAATGCAACCCATTTGAAGTGTGGGTAATCTCTTTGTAGAATCTGAAAATTGAGAAAGGACAAAATAATGCTCTATTGTTATACACATACAGTATATGCCAAAATAAATATGCCAAAAATCTGCCAAATTGCAAAAGGCACCACATTGGCATCTGCCTCACATATCTGCCAAGTTTTGCTGAAAGATATTAAGAAGTTTTCCAGTTGTGCTCGGGAAACGAAACCCGCCCCTCCCTTTTTGGGACTAAGTCCGAATCATTTCCATGGAAATCGAGAAAATAATAAATCACAAAAATCTGCAAATAGCAATAGGCACCACTTCAAGATCTGTCTCATATATCTGCTAAGTTTTGCTGAAAGATATTAGGAAGTTTTCCAGTTGTGCTCCAGAAAGGAAACCCACCCCTCCCTTTTTGGGACTAAGTCCGAATCGTTTACATAGAAACCGGGAAAAATAAAAATGACAAACATCTGCAAATAGCAAAAGGCACCACTTAAGGATCTGTTTGATATATCTACTAATTTTTGCTGAAAAATATTGAACGCTTTTTGAGTTATATTCCGGAAACGAAGCCCACCCCCCGCTTTAAGACTAAGTCTAAAACGTTTCCATGGAAACTGAGATAAATAAAAATGACAAAAATCTGTAAATAGCAAAAGGCACCACCTTAGGTTCTGTTTGATATATCTACCAATTTTTGTTGAAAAATATTAAACGGTTTTTGAGTTATGCTCCGGAAACAAAATGATTACGGACGGACAGACGATGCGTCGACTATATAATAACAACCAACATTGACGGAAGCCCAGCTGTAACGGAGAGACACATCCTGCCAGCATCTCTGGATGATAACATCATTTCACGAAATTGTCACGTTTCTCGTCTACAAAGTGGCACTGATACAACCCAACTAACCTTTGTAAGAGGCAGGGTAGATATTTCACCATGTTTTGCAGCACTGAAAAAAGATACAACACTCGCATTGACTTCATTAAAAAAAATCTGTAACAACCGAATAAATTGAATAATAAAATTTCATTTACATATTTTCATTAGGTGCCAGTGCACCGACATGTAGAACAGTTTAAATGCGTTCTGCATTAGATTATGAGGTCGAACACCTGACACTAAGTTGTACAGATCAGAACACAATATGAGAATGAGGCACACAATATGACGTGTACTTTGTAACTGTGAACCTGAACACACCTCTCCAGTGATAGATCTCCGGTACAGACTTCGGACACGTGATCAATTACTGGACCTGCTGTTGATTGGGTTGATTGTACTGTTTCCATGGCAACATCAGGCTGACTCCGGACACACGCCATGGCAACTGTCTGTGGCACAATATCCAGAACTGCCCAGCACCTGGAATATCACACAAGCACTTGTTATACAAATACAAGCACCTGTTACACAGTACAAGCACCTGGAATATCACACAAGCACCTGTTATACAAATACAAGCACCTGTTACACAGTACAAGCACCTGGAATATCACACAAGCACCTGTTATACAAATACAAGCACCTGTTACACAGTACAAGCACCTGGAATATCACACAAGCACTTGTTATACAAATACAAGCACCTGTTACACAGTACAAGCACCTGGAATATCACACAAGCACCTGTTATACAAATACAAGCACCTGTTACACAGTACAAGCACCTGGAATATCACACAAGCACTTGTTACACAAATACAAGCACCTGGAGTATCACACAAGCACCTGTTACACAAATACAAGCACCTGGAGTATCACACAAGCACCTGTTACACAAATACAAGCACCTGGAATGTAATACAGGCACCTTGAATACAATACAAGCACCTGCTACATGAGTACAAGTACAAGTTAACCAAACAAAATAATGCCTTATATTGATATCGATATATAGTTGTGTCTTGTACATTTCTTGTGTCATATACAAGAGACGTTCCTAAATTCTGTAAATGGCATGCTTATTCAAACATCAACCATTATTGTCAATAATGCAATAGAAAGCAAAATGGTTTTTCTACACATCCATGATATGTGTGCATCTGTACTTTACATGAGAGATGTATACCATTACTCTCTGTCTGCTAGTTACACTAATACAAGCACCTGCTATATTAAAATAAGCAAAGTAATGTAATACAAAGTCTGTTCTAATATTACCACGATGCCCTTTAAAAATTGATTGTTATGGTCAAGGGGAGGTAAATATAGATGAGGATATAACTTATCTCCCCTTGTATATGCAAGTATCCTTAAAAGAAAGTATATATTACATCTTTTGACAATAATAAATTATCGAATTTCAGAAATAATTTCAAAGTAAATTAAATATACACTCCAAATTACACAAAAATACTCATGGAGATCTATTTTGAAACTTCACACCATTTCATAGTGTTTTCACATACAGAAACTCACCAGAGAATATTGAGTAGACTGCATGTGATGAGCCCCATGAGCACAGACAGGCGGTACCTCTTGATCTGGACAAACACAGCACGGCATACATTACATCTGTGGCTGGGTCTCAGGTCCCACATCAAGGACTTAAGGAGGTAGGGGAGATAACTCATATCTTTATTTCCCAAAGACTATGGTGTTTTGAGGTGAGGTGAGGTGACATTGGGTTTAACGTCGCGCTTGAGAATATTTCGCTCATATGACGACGTGCTTGCGTGTGTATGTGTAAGTGCGGCTGCTTGTACTAGCCCAGACTGAAACGGGTTTTTATAGTGCTAGCCCACTGAGATACCATGCCTCAGTGAGGCATGAATACCCCGCTCAGACACGTTATACTGACTCCGAGCTGACCAGTCCTTGTTGTACCCATTAATGCCGAGCACCAGGCAGGGACCATCAAGTACCATATTTTAACGTCTTTTGGTATGACGCGGTTGGCAATCGAACCCGCGACCTTCCGCTCTCCGGGCGGATATGGTGTTTTGAAGTTTTAAGATGAAGTTTGAAGTGGTTTTAAGCATAACAATATGAAATTAAACAAGAGTCATCAGAAGATGACATATCCCCCCGGCCCCCACATCTTTGAAAGAACAAATCATCTGACAGTTACTTAAAGTCCAGCTTGATTTTAGACTAAGTGCAAATCGTTTCCATGGAAATCATGAAAAAAATAAATGACAAAAATCTGCAAATAGCAAAAGGCACCACTTTGGGATCTGCCTCGCATATCTGCCAAGTTTTGCTGAAAGATATTAAGAAGTTTTCGCGTTGTGCTCCGGAAACAAAACCCATCCCTTCCTTTTTGAGACTAAGTTCGAATCATTTCCATGGAAACCGAGAAAATAATAAATCACAAATATCTGCAAATAGCAAAAGGCATCACTTCAATATCTGCCTCACATATCTGCCAAGTTTTGCTGAAAGATATAGAGAGGTTTTTTGAGTTGTGCTCGAAAAAACGAAGTTCCCCTCACTTTTGGGATTAAGTCCGAATCGTTTCCATGGAAACCGGGAAAATAAAAATGCCAAAAATCGGCAAATAGCAAAAGGCACCACTTAAGGTTCTGTTTGATATATCTACCAAGTCTTGTTGAAAAATATTGAACGGTTCTTGAGTTATGCCCGAAACTAAGCCCACCCTCACTTTTGGGACTAAGTCCGAATCGTTTCCTTGGAAACCGGGAAAAATAAAAATGCCAAAAATCTGCAAATAGCAAAAGGCACAACTTTAGGATCTGTTTGATATATCTACCAAGTTTTGTTGAAAAATATTGAACGGTCCGGAAACGAAGCCCACCCTTCTTTAAGACTAAGTCCAAAACGTTTCCATGGAAACCGAGAAAAATAAAAATGACAATTATCTGTAAATAGCAAAAGGCACCACCTTAGGTTATGTTTGACATATCTACCAATTTTGGTTAAAAAATATTGAACGGTCTTTGAGTTATGGTCCGGAAACAAAATGATTACGGACGGACGGACGGGCGGACGGACGGACGGACGGACAGATGGACGAGGCGACGACTATATCCCACTGCATTATATGCCGGTGGGATAATAACTATGGACAGCATCAGATAGGGTGGTTTTTCTTTCAAAAGTGACCTTAATTCTGTTATATAATTCAATTTTATTTTTCTGCTTACATTTCATTTTCTACTAATCTGCAATTTTGTAAACCAAGTAAAAGAAGTTTGCCCTAACACATAAGTCACAGAAATGGCAAAGGAATGGATGCATTCTGATTAAGATGATACAACATGGCTACCACACATCCCAGGATCGGTTACACAAGGAAACATATTCCAGTTCGCCGGCCACTACTGTCAAATCAAACATTTCACTAACGTGTCAGTTCAATGTAGCAATCATGGAATGATCTTTATTAACCCCCTTGATGATGTCCAGAACACAGGTACAGACCAAGGATATTCATCAGGACAAATATGGGTCCAATATATGAAGACTAACGCTACAAGGGGAAGCAACTCTGTACTACCTGTTGTTGACCTCAAGCCATGCACTCCGATATTGTCAGATCACATTGTTAGATGTTGTTAGATACTTCATCTAAATACTTTCAATTATAAATGCAACCTAAAATAGTTAAACATCTTCACTCGTCCAAATATTTTCAATAATAAACTTACCTGTGTTGCATTGAATTCTATCTTTTCATATATAAAGGGCATTGTGTTGATTATTCCTCCTGAAACAAGACATTAGGAATTTGACCGATGGTGCCACGACTGTTATTGATGTGAAAGCAAGGTTTTACACGATGCTCAAATGTAGAGAATGGACGTATAATACTCAAAATGCTGCAACCAGAGACGCACAAAAATACTGACGGCATACCTACAGCGCATCAAGAGTAGTTATCTGCGCCTGTTATTTCACAGATCAGTCATGACACTGTCCATATGACCTTGACTCATTCCAGTTCTGAAGTCATTATCTGAACTTACAGTACACGACACCATTTCAATATTTTCACAGGACCGTCATATTACCAGCAAAGACATTGATTGATGGTGGTCCCCTGCAGGGCTCCAGATAAGGGCCGTATGTACGGATAAATAGTATGCACAATACGGTAGCAAATAATTTAGAAAACGTAGCAGGTACGCACCACAGCAGCAGTGTACGGTCTTAGAATCATTTACAGACGTATTTATCTGAAGAAAAATATTGGTTTATTGTTTATTGACCTGTTTACACAAGACTATCAATGCTGTGGTGCATATAAACTCATGTGAATAATGGTTGTCACCCCCTTCGTTTTTTTATTGGAGAGGGGGTGTGGGGTGTGTGTGGAGAGGGGGGTGACAACCATTATTGGCATGAGTATATGAAACGAAACAATAATGTACTCTTAAGGTTTTCCAGTACTCCTGTAGTGAAAAAATAAGGAGTACGTACTCCTGATGTTGAAAAACTATCTGGAGCCCTGGTCCCATGGACTCCCACGTCAAGGTCAAGGTAAAACCCTGTAAGTATTTCAGTTAGGGAAGGAGCACAAGTTACAGGTGTTCACCAAGATGGGGAAGAATATGTAAATGACTTTGTGGTCATGATGGGGTTCATTAACTACCAGCCACGTGTACTCACCAAGACTGTTAGCAATATTCCAGCAACATCACGGCGGGGGACACCAGAAATGGGTTTCACATGTTGTACCCATGTGGGGATTCGAACCCGCGTTTTTGGCAGGACGAGCCAAAGCTTTAACCACTAGACTACCCCACCGCCCCATACTCACCAAGAGCTACAGTTCCCATCAGAAAGGGTTCTCCTAAATACTTGAAGTCGTTGCTGATCTCACGACCGACCGACACTCCCACATAGAAGGTCACTATGGTCTGAAACACATCTTGTCATCAGAAACATGTATTGGGCCGACCTCACCAATATCTGTCCACATTCATCACAGATCACTAATACAGTCAAACACAGTACAACAGTTCTATGTCTGTAGAACACAAAATACAAGCTCTTTGTCTGGGAGAGTGAGTGAGTGGTTTTACGCCACTTTTAGCAATATTCCAGCAATATCACATGGGAGACAACAGATATGGGCTTCACACATTGTACCCATGTGGAGAAATGAGCCCGGATCTTAGGCATGACGAACAACTGCTTTAACCACTAGGCTACCCAACTGCCCCTTGTTTGGGGAGAACATACCCTAATGCACGGCAAAGGTTAAACAAAGAGTGCCATGTCCATAGCTCATCACCAAATCACAGACACTTCCAGTTCAGTGATATCTCTAACAGAAAGGGAAAACACATTGTTTTCTTGGTAACCGAGTGCTTATGCAAACAAACATTGGTGTTAAATCATAGACTGGCACTTCACTCAGACTTTGTATTCCTACTGTGTTTCTGAAGTTACCATCACCATCACCATCATCATCATCATCATCATCCAGAGGCTGTTTGTGTTACTCACTGTGCCCAGTAGCAGTGATCCCTTGAGGAAGGTGAGAATGGAGACAACAGGTTGAATTAGTTTCAAGGCAAACACCACCGCCACTGTCAAGATCCACACAAAACCCGGGATGACGTACACATGGCTGAAATCGAAGATGGTGGTGAATTCCCCAATACTTGGCATCTGCCCTATACAATCCACACACACAGGACATATTTTAATAAGCATCGTTTAGCTAAACTGGCCCTGAACTTCTGAACAATCAAGCCTGTTTGTGTAGACAACAGGGGCAGGTAACTCTAATTCTCATTCAGGAAAGCTGTACCAGGGTTTTACGCGACACGCAATGCGCATTCAGTATGAGAATGGACACAGAAAAAATATCCTGAAGGATGCACAACATTATTCATTGTACCGACAACACATGACATTGATAAGTGTTTGGTTGTTTCTTTCAGACCAATTGTGTGCATTATTTCATCCACCAGTCCATTAGATAAATGATTCATTCCAGTCTCGAAAGAAATTATCAAAACATACAGTTTTATCCACCGTTACTTCACAGGACCCTCACATACATAGATACATAGATACATAGATACATAGATACATAGATACATACATACATACATACATACATACATACATACATACATACATACATACATACATACATACATACATACATGCATACATACATACATTTGTAAAGCGCTAGTATCCAGCGTTAGCTGCTCAAAAGCACTACTGTCTGAGATAGTCGAAAACGGTCACTGAAATGCCATATTGAAGAAGAACGTTTTGAGTTTACATTTGAACGTGGACAATGTTTGCTCGGTTCTTATTTCAAGTGGGAGACTGTTCCAGAGAAGGGGTCCTGCACATTCAAAGGAGCAGTAACCAAACGTCATATTGCCTGCACGGACCCTTAAAACTAATAATTGGGGGTCCCTAGCACCCCATGCTTGTGAGGTAACACCCTGCTCCACTCACTGCTGTTGAAATCCAATTTGCCACCACTGCCAGCAGTAATATAACAACAGTTTAAAAAACGTTAAAACAGGCAACAAAACACAACATACCTGATTCCCACCAGCTGGGCAAATGCTTCACTCCCAGCGAGGGAGTAGCAGATCAGTAGTGCAATGCTGAAAACAGACAAGCCGTTACAAAGACACAATAATAATATTAGCAATTTTTTATCTAGGAATCCAAAAAGTCAGTGTCCTTGGAAGTGATATTGGGAATATTTAATTCAGACTTTCCACGCACATTCTTGATATCCTTGTCTGCCATTTACATGTGTAATATAGACTATGTAATAGGCGACTATGTAAACACTTTATTCATTGGTCAATGAGTCATCACATCACAGTAGATGTTGACATCAGAGTAAATGAATACATGACACATTTCATGGACAACAACTTCTTTTTATTCATAATAGCTAATCCTAATGAAGCAGGAAGAATAAGCTTTGAAAAGATATAAAACAGAACAGACAGAAGGTGATATCCATATAACATGTCATGTATTCATGTTTCATCTAACTTCTAAATGGCTTTCAAAAACATCACAGTAGATGATGACATCACAATAGACTATGACATCACAGTAGATGATGACATCACAATAGACGATGACATCACAGTAGATGATGACATCACAATAGACGATGACATCACAGTAGATGATGACAAGCTGTGACATGATGACGTCCCTGCACACTGTCATAGGGGTACCGTTAGCATCACGACAGAATTCTCTCAATTCTTGACTTTGCTACAGTTATTGATAATGGAGACAATGTGATTCATTCATTCAAGCAAGTATCCAACATATTTTACAAATTTTGATTCCACCGAGGATAACAAATGCTGATACTTGTTTCGTGAATCAGTATGGCAAGCACATATATGTCACACTCTCCAGAATAGCAGAGTAGCACAAAATAACATTCCCATACTTGAACATATCTTCCATCAGGTATAAAGTTGATACCTAGTTTCACATTTTGCATGCTTGCGGAAGGACCCAATTTTACAGTCAAATGACAACAGCTGAATCGAAATCCTGCTGATGTTTGTTGATCATCTTTTTTGTGGGTTGTATAATGCCACACTCGGGTGAGTGAGTACTGCTTTACGCCGCATCAGCAATTTTGCAGCTATTCGCAGCAAGCCACAGTCGAGAATATTGCAGCTACATGACTGCAGTCTGTAAATAATCAAGTCTGGACCAGACATTCCAGTGACTGACATCATATGGTACAATCTACACAACTTGGATACAATTCCATGCAGTCAGTAAGCCTGAAGACCTGGCCCCGATTTCTCGAAACAAACTTAAGAAACAGCTAAATTTCTAACTCAACTGTATTTCTAAAATGAAAAAGCCAAAACAACTTAAGTAACCTATCTACCAAACTCAAATTGTCTCCTATGTTTGAGTTTAGTATTGATTTAGTTTATTATGGGAAGGCATTTGGCTGCATTTTCTCAAATTTGAGTAAAACCTCTAACTTGAGTCAAACCTCAGACTTGGTTTCAAGAAATCAGGGCCTGATGCTGTTGAGATTTCCTAAAAACATTGGCCAGACCTAAAGCGAGACTCTTCCAAGGGGGTGGAACCGCGTGGCATTACACAACTTGTACTTACAACTGGAGAATAACCATGATGTCAAACGCCTGTCTCACACCACAACACAGGAACAGCTCTCCCAGGAGGTGAAGATTGGGTGGGCAGATTGAGTTGTCTCCCCCTGATTCTCCAGCAAGTGCTGAACCTGAACATGTATGCATCTCATAAATCTCTGTGTGAAACAAAATAATTTTTCCAAGAAACCGTAACAAACAAAGAGGAAAGCAAAGATATAATACCCATAACATGATAAACTTATAATCTGATATTAAATTAATTATCTTACGAAGCAGTTAAAAAAATTCATATCTGAATGTCTGCAACATGTAACACACAGGCTAAAATTTTCATGAATTTTAATCTTCAGATTATAGATAACAATTTTAATCAAGACTTTTATGCAAAATCATCACGTCAAACAATGACAACATCTTTTGTGTCTCATGTGCGATATATCTGAAGATATACACGATTTGATGTGTGGGAAGATACAAGGCAGCATGGGAAGATGCAAAGGCAGCATCGGAAGATACCCAAGAGCACGGGAAGATATCCTGAAGATATACACATGGGAAGATACCCATGGGAAGATACACACGTGTGCATGGGAAGATACCCAAGGCAGTGAGATGACCAATACATTTTATTTATCTAGTCTACAAACATTTACTAGCCTGGGGGTAAGTTGACAAACAGCTGTGTGTCTTACCTTGCGTGAGTCTTCCTCCAGACCCTTCTGTACCGTGTTTACTGAAGATCTCGTCATCACTGTCATCCTCCATGTCCTGCAGGGGAACAAGCTCATCCTGTGGAGGACACAGCTGATCAGTGACGCATGGGATCCAAGGTGGGACTCACTTACTCCTCTGATTGTTACAAGTCAGTAGTAAAGTATGGGAGTTACGATTATCTTAGTTCTACGATTGTTACAAGTCAGAACTAAAGTATGGGAGTTACGATTATCTTAGCTATACGATTGTTACAAGTCAGTAGTAAAGTATGGGAGTTACGATTGTTACAAGTCAGTAGTTAAGTATGGGAGTTACGATTATCTTAGTTCTACTACTGTTACAAGTCAGTAGTAAAGTATGGGAGTTACGATTATCTTAGTTCTACGATTGTTACAAGTCAGTAGTAAAGTATGGGAGTTACGATTATCTTAGTTCTACGATTGTTACAAGTCAGTACTAAAGTATGGGAGTTACGATTATCTTAGTTCTCCCTGATTACAAGTCAGTAGTAAAGTGTGGGAGCTACAATTATCTTAGTTCTGTGATTGTTACAAGTCAGTAGTAAAGTGTGGGAGTTACGATTATCTTAGTTCTACGATTGTTACAAGTCAGTAGTAAAGTATGGGAGTTACGATTATCTTAGTTCTACGATTGTTACAAGTCAGTAGTAAAGTATGGGAGTTACGATTATCTTAGTTCTACGATTGTTACAAGTCAGTAGTAAAGTATGGGAGTTACGATTATCTTAGTTCTACGATTGTTACAAGTCAGTAGTAAAGTATGGGAGTTACGATTATCTTAGTTCTACGATTGTTACAAGTCAGTAGTAAAGTATGGGAGTTACGATTATCTTAGTTCTACGATTGTTACAAGTCAGTAGTAAAGTATGGGAGTTACGATTATCTTAGTTCTACGATTGTTACAAGTCAGTAGTAAAGTATGGGAGTTACGATTATCTTAGTTCTACGATTGTTACAAGTCAGTAGTAAAGTATGGGGGATACAATTACCTTAGTTCTACGATTGTTACAAGTCAGTAGTAAAGTATGGGAGTTACGATTATCTTAGTTCTAACGATTGTTACAAGTCAGTAGTAAAGTAAAGGAGTATGGGAGTTACAATTATCTTAGGAGAGTACTACGATTGTTACAAGTCAGTAGTAAAGTATGGGTGATCCTAATTATGGGAGTTCTACGATTGTTACAAGTCAGTAGTAAAGTATGGGGTTACAATTATCTTAGTTCTACGATTGTTACAAGTCAGTAGTAAACTATGGGAGATACAATTATCTTAGCTCTACGATTGTTACAAGTCAGTAGTAAAGTATGGGAGATCGATTATCTTACTATCAGTTGTTACAAGTCAGGAGTATACAATAACCTTAGTTATGATTGTTACAAGTCAGTAGTAAAGTATGGGAGATACAATTACCTTAGTTCTACGATTGTTACAAGTCAGTAGTAAACTATGGGAGATACGATTATCTTAGCTATACGATTGTTACAAGTCAGTAGTAAAGTATGGGAGTTACGATTATCTTAGTTCTACGATTGTTACAAGTCAGTACTAAAGTATGGGAGTTATGATTGTTACAAGTCAGTAGTAAAGTATGGGGGATACAATTACCTTAGTTCTACGATTGTTACAAGTCAGTAGTAAAGTATGGGAGATACGATTATCTTAGTTCTATGATTGTTACAAGTCAGTAGTAAAGTATGGGAGTTACGATTATCTTAGTTATACGATTGTTACAAGTCCAAATTAATGTGTATTAAGATAATAAAATTGCATGCATTCAATTAATAATAACCACAAAAGTGCACAGTTAAAATGGATCATGAATTACATAATGTGTTGCTGTTCCATTAGATGTTTTGGAAATATAAAAAAAGCAACACAAAAATATCATGTTCTAACTTCTAGTGATTTCTGGAACCCTGGAGTTACCTGGTTTGGGTTGCGCTGAAGGGCAATCGCTCGCTGCAGGAGATCAGTGAAGTAAAATATGAGGAGCACCTGTAACAATCAACAGGTACACAGTAGAAGACACACCTGTAACAATCAACAGGTACACAGTAGAAGACACACCTGTAACAATCAACAGGTACACAGTAGAAGACACACCTGTAACAATCAACAGGTACACAGTAGAAGACACACCTGTAACAATCAACAGGTACACAGTAGAAGACACACCTGTAACAATCAACAGGTACACAGTAGAAGACACACAATCAATAGTAACATAGGGTACAGTAGAAGACACACCTGTAACAATCAACAGGTACACAGTAGAAGACACACCTGTAACAATCAACAGGTACACAGTAGAAGACACACATGTAACAATCAATAGGTACACAGTAGAAGACACACCTGTAACAATCAACAGGTACACAGTAGAAGACACACCTGCAACAATCACAAATACACAGTGGAGTAGACGATAAGACACACCTGTAACACTCTGTTACCATGGTTACTGACCTGCATGAGCGTGCTGGTGATGAAGGAGACGAGGAAGGGGTACATCCCTGCTTGTGTCAGGGTAACAGGTAAACCTGGAACATACAGGTACATGACAGGAGTAATGCAATGAAAACACATGCCAACGAACCCTATGTTCTCTGTTTAGCACTACATTCTGCAGTTTTCCTACATTATGGTGGCCATCAGTGTATGATGGTGGTACGTAAATAACTGAATAAGAAGACAAGAAATTCATTGATACCATAACAAACTTTCAACACTGCTTGGATACAATGACACACAGTCAACACAGCCCTAAGCATGTCTCTACCAAGTCACTTCCTACTTGTGAGCACAGGTTGGAGGGGCCCTAATTTCTAACCCACAAACTCCCTGGTGGAGGGGCCCCAGTTCCAGCCCACAAACTCCCTGGTGGAGGGGGAAACTTCATAAGCTCCACGGAGGAATTGGGACATTGTAAACTCCACAGAGGAGATGTGATATCATAAACTCCACAGAGGAGGGGGACATAGTAAACTCCATGAAGGAGGGGAACATCATAAACTCCACGGAGGAGGACATAGTAAACTCCATGGAGGAGGGGGACATCGTGCCCATAAACTCCACAGAGGAGGTGTGACATCGTAAACTCCATGGAAGAGGGGACATCATAAACTCCACGGAGGAGGGGACATAGTAAACTCCACGGAGGAGGGGAACATCGTTAACACCACAGAGGAAGGGGACATCGTTAACACCACGGAGGAGGGGGACATTGTAAACTCCATAGAGGAGATGTGACATCGTAAACTCCACGGATGAGGTGTGACATCGTAAACTCCATGAAGGAGGGGGACATAGTAAACTCCACGGAGGAGGGGGACATCGTAAACTCCATGGAGGAAGGGGACATAGTAAACTCCACGGAGGAGGGGGACATCGTAAACTCCACGAAGGAAGGGGACATAGTAAACTCCATCGAGTAGGGGGACATCGTTAACACCACGGAGGAGGACATAGTAAACTCCATGGAGGAGGGGGACATTGTTAACACCACAGAGGAGGGGGACATCGTAAACTCCACGGATGAGGTGTGACATCGTAAACTCCATGGAGGAGGACATAGTAAACTCCATGGAGGGGAAATAGTAAACTCCACGGAGGAGGGGGACATCATAAACACCACGGAGGAGGGGAACATCATAAACTCCATGGACGAGGACATAGTAAACTCCATGGAGGGGAAATAGTAAACTCCACGGAGGAGGGGGACATCATAAACACCACGGAGGAGGGGAACATCATAAACTCCATGGAGGAGGACATAGTAAACTCCATGGAGGAAGGGGACATCATAAACTCCATGGAGGAGGGGAACATCATAAACTCCACGGAGGAGGACATAGTAAACTCCATGGAGGAAGGGGACATCATAAACTCCACGGAGGAGGACATAGTAAACTCCATGGAGGAGGGGAACATCATAAACTCCACGGAGGAGGACATAGTAAACTCCATGGAGGAAGGGGACATAGTAAACTCCATGGAGGAAGGGGACATCATAAACTCCATGGAGGAGGACATAGTAAACTCCATGGAGGAAGGGGACATCATAAACTCCATGGAAGGGACATAGTAAACTCCATGGAGGAGGACATAGTAAACTCCATGGAGGAGGGGAACATCATAAACTCCATGGAGGAGGACATAGTAAACTCCATGGAGGAAGGGGACATCGTAAACTCCATGGAGGAGGGGGACATCATAAACTCCACAGAGGAGGACATAGTAAACTCCACGTAGGAGGGGACAAAGTAAACTCCACGGAAGAGGGGGACATCGTAAACTCCACAAGGAGAGGGCACATCGTAAACTCCATGGAGATACAAGGAAAGTGGGAAGTATTCACTTTGTCAAGCCATATACATGCATTACTACTGAGTGTCACCTGAAAACACCTGTTTCCATTAACTTACTGAGACATTAAAACCTACTCCACTAACAGCCTTGTAACAGATGTAACTACCAGTTCCTCCACTATGAAGTGAGCTTTCCTCCACTATGAAGTGAGTCAGGTATTCATACAGCATCTAGGAAGGTACGTAAACATTGAGGCATTTTCCAAGCCTGTACTGAAGTTTATAGATGTGGAATAATACTATCCTCATAACAGGCAAGTCAAAGGACTCAAGTCTTAAATATGGATGCATAGTCATTATTCATACATTCAAGAATTCATGACTTAAACGAATAATTACTGCTTTAGAGACTTGTGCATGTCTATGATAGTGGTGGTCCGATTAATTGAAATAATCAAAGACTGGTCGTAGTGACTAAACGACTAAGCAATCGATCATAATTTCTCATGATCGAACACAACCAATTTTGGAACACTTGTTTTCATTAACAATTTTTTTTCACATCGTTGGTTTTTACTGTTACATTGTGTAAGCACTACAAGCTCGTTTCAAGTCATGATTGAATTTATCTTAAAGGCTCCAAGAAATTTATGTTCCTAACATACTAGTCATCCTTTAAAGATGTGAAATTTTGCCAAAAAGCCCAAAAAGAAGTACATGGTTTGTTCCTTAGTTTTATGTGCATTAACAAATTTGATAAATGACGCTAACCAATTATTTTCGATGATTGATCGGTTGTAAGGAACCAATCATCGATTATGAGGTTTTAACCAATTCCCAACACTAGTCTATGATATATAGTAAGCTGTGACACACAGTAGGACATAACATACTGGGATATTTCCCCAACCATTTGCTGTATATTTTAGTCTAAACAAAGTAACGAAATATAACAAGATGAGTTTGGCACAACCGTTTTTTACTGTATTGAACTGTTGATGAAATGAAAGGGTATTGTACGAGGCAACAATTATTGCAGTACTGTTGCAATAGTGTGAGCTAATATTGCAAAACAATCTAAATAGTGAAATAGACCAGTTATAATCACCATCAGCATGATCAGTGCATTTTCACAGCTTCATCCCATAACCTATATTTCACACATTATGTATGCCTCAAAGTAAACCATGCAGCAAGACATCTTGCAAAAGATTTCATCGCAGAAAGTTTCTTTGGTGAAATCACATGATGAATGTTGGTATGTACAACCTTGAATGATAATGAATGATAATTGATTTGTAGAGCGACTCGTTTCCAGATTGGACATGACTGCTCAACGGCGCTTGTTGAAGTGAGCGGAAAAAAAGATATGTCTTCAGATGAGTTAGAAAAGAGTCTTTTGTTTGACAGTTTCTGATTTCCAGTGGTAGGGCATTCCACAGTTTTGGAGCTGCAAAATAAAAGGACCCACTTAGCCCATCTTTGTTTTAGTTTTAGGAACATGAAGTAGTTTATCATTGGCTGATCTTAAAGCTCTTGTGGGTTGGTAGCGATGTGACATGTCCTTAATATAGGTTGGGGAGTTTTCATCATTTAGTGCTGAATATGTGATAGAAAGAGTCTTGAAAGTGATGCAGTGCTCCACGGGTAGCCAGTGGAGTGATTTCAGGACAGGGGTGATATGGTCAGTTCTCTTGGTACCAGTCAGCATCCTCGCAGCACTGTTCTGCACTTGTTGCAGTAGTTTGATGTTAGTGGCAGTAGTCCCATTGAGGAGGGCATTTCCATAGTCAAGACGTGATGTGACACAGGCTTGGATAACTGTCCTCAGACTGTCATTGTCAAGGTATTTCTTGATCTTGCTGATCTTAAATAGCTGGAAGAAGGCAGATCTGCATGTTGACTTGACATGGTTTTTCATCGTCATGTTTCTGTCAAACTTGACTCACAGATTTCGCACGTCATTGCTTGGCTTGATATGACTGCCACTAATGTCAAGAGTTACATCTGGGATTTTGGACTGTAATTTTCCAGAGCTAATAGTCATGAATTCTGTTTGGGAACTTTTGAATTTGAGTGCATTTGCTGTCATCCACTGTTGAATATCACTGATACAATGTTCAAGCTGTAACTTGTAACTTGGGTAGGTTTTGTTCCTAGCAACTGGTTGTCGATCTGCGTATCCATGGAAGTTGACATTGTGTTGTCGGATATTTCCTATAGGCAGTATGTAAATGTTAAAAAGGAGAGGACCAAGGACAGAGCTTTGTGGGACACCACAGCGCAGCTCACCTTCTTGTGATCTGGATCCATCAATTTGAACTTGAAGGTATCTGTCAGTGAGGTACGATCTGAACCACTGAAGTGCAGAGCCGCCAATACCAACTGTTTGTTCCAATCTCTGAAGCAATATGTCATGGTCAACAGTATCGAAAAGCTGCAAAGAGGTCTAGCAGAACTAAGAGAACTGTTTCCTGATTGTCCAGTGAATGCATGATGTCATTTTGGACAGACAGTAGCGCAGTCTTGGTACTGTGTTTCCTCTTATAGGCAGACTGGAATTCTTCTCCAAGGCTGTTATGATTAAGATGCTCCCTGAGACGTATGGATACAATACTTCCCAGTGCTATACCTGTGATGATCCGGGGGAGAACTGATCTTCAGCAACCCATGCTTGTTGTAGGATCAGGTCAGGCATGTTGACTTGGTTGACACATGGCATCATATCACAATTGTGTTGAGGATCACTGGCCCTCATCTTAATTATGGTTCTATAATTTGATTACCAAAAATGTCAATTTTATTACAGAGCCCAACTATTAAATACAAGTAATCCTGGTACACTTTACCGATTTAGATGATATGTAGGGCGTGGACACTATCCATACATCTAACACACCAACACCCAATAATGTAAATCATCAAGGTATTTGGTTTCAACAGCTACAAAAATATGAATAGGAAAAAATATGTATGAATGCAACAATGCCATGGTGATGTGTAAATGAAAAATGACACCAGCAGACACTACTATGATCAACAGTCATTGATAATAACATCAACACGCGGTGAAACGTCTCACTTTGTGTTTCATGGCAATTCTGTCTTTTTGGAATATATACATATATAATATATAATATGTCTAATGAGATGGCATGAAACTGAGACTGTACATCATGACTGTAATGTGTGTGACCTATAGCATTACTAATATCACTGGCCATGTTCAAAATCTACTTTCAAAAGTTTGATATGAAATGTACCGAGGAGTTTTCATACATTCAAATTAGAAAGGTCACAGGAGATTGTACAGGTACCATGTGCTATCAGCACAATCCTTTGATTGTAAATGAGGGTGTTTGGGAACAAAGCTGCTATGTGCAGGACATGGTCATAAGGAAGGTGGTGGTGATTAAAAATCATTAGATTGACGAGAGGTTGCCAGAAATTCAAGACACCATCATACAAAGTTTCCAACTGTCACATATCTGCTTGTTAATCTTGCATGAACTTGTTGTTCTGCTTACAAGATAACATACTCAGCGTCACTGTCCCTGAAGGTTCTGCAAATGTAGCTCACTGGATTGTTCAAGAAGAATTCTCATGTGACAGCTTCAGGAAGGTTGACTATATAAGTGCAGCCTGAAGGAGATTCAAGGTCTTTTACTTGTTACCAACCTAATTCCAGATTCAAGGAATGGCAACAGGCATCCACAGTGACAAAATTCTGGACCTTCATGAGAGCACGGACTGCTGTGTGGCCTTGGACAACAAACGCTTACTTCCTCTCTGCAAACTGTTGGGTCACAGGTGCTATTGGAAAGGCAGGACATGCTTCTTAATTTGGCAGACAAGTTGTGTCAGCACAGATTTTTATAAATTTTCATCACTATTTTCCCTTTTGAAAAAAAGGCCCAGTGAAACATGTTTGGGCAGAAAATCAAGAATGGTTACTCTCTGTCACTGAGTATTATAAATAATATTAGGGCCTGTTAGTGCTGCTATACTTGACCTTTCTATTGACGTCTGTGAGTGTAAAACAAAAAACATGTTAAAATACAATGTGTTAATTTTGTAGATGTCAATATTCATTGATTTTGTGCTTTCTGTACTACTTTCACAACTTAATTCTGTATGCAACACGTTTTTTGGTTAATGGCAGTTTATACTTCCTACGCCTGACTGTCTACTTGATGAATGATTGTACAGCAGTTTCAAATTTCCCGTTTGTGACAAAAATGGTAGGACAAAACATTTGCACAGTTAACACACTGATATTGGGTTTCACTGGATGATTGTTAATGAATAATCTGTCAACTATTTCCCGGAAAGGTGATGTGTCTATAAGGTGGAAATGCTACGGAAACTATGTAAGTGAATGTTTAACTAGCAACAGGCGTTTACCTGGATCTACAAAACTTGGGGTCACTTCTAGAGACCTGACTGGAACTATGAGGGTCCTGTAATGTAATAAAATGGTTAACCGTCCTTTAAAATTTGATAAATACTTCCGTTATAGGACACGTATATTTCTTGTCAAGGTTCAGTACAATAAATATTATCTTGTGTCCTTTGACATGAAACATTTCGTGTGTGTGTTTTATAGATTGGTGGCTACTGGCGTGCTGGATGCACATTTCTGTGTTGAGTAAAACCCTGAAACAAAGACCTGACAATTGTCCACAAACAATCACACGAAGATTTCAGTCGCAAGTTATCACATTGGAAAGTTAACAGTCTTGTTTGGTCATTGAAGACATTCAACTCCTGGGTCCATTCTTGGGTTAATTTTATGCCAGTGAGTAAATGTTTTACTAAGATAATTCAGCTTAAAATGCTGATGATGGTAATGTCCAATATTCCGTACTTCCCCAGCATATCCAGCACCACAACACAGATCTATAACCAGGTCCCAGAATGCCAGACATGGCCTACTTCCTGTACAGGTGATATTCCTGCATACAGGTGGAAAAGACAACATTGTTATACCAGGGACCATATAATAGAGGCTATAAGGTCTTTGGTTATACTATTACATTTTTAAAATGTTTCATGCATATGTCACCCAAATTTATAAGTAAATGCAGATGTATTTTGCTCCAATATGCAGCTTATTTGATCTCTGACCCACATAATTCATCCAATCATTTGATATGCCATGTACCACATATGGTGCATCATCGTGTTACACATATTGTACACCTACACTTGCCTCGCCCACCCAGCTGCTGCTCAATAAACAACCACCTGGCATTTATGAATACACAGTATTTTTAGTGTGCCTTTTTTGGCTACTTTTGTCACAGCCAATGACATTGGCTCATCTCAGTAACTCAGTAACTGCTCATAAATAATTCAACAGATGATCCATTACCTGCATCACTATGTATATGTTTATAACAGTGAATAAAGGGGTTAGCATGGGTTGATATGAGGGTCTAGTTGACTCAACACCTTAGATTGTTGGCATCCCAGGAAAATGTAAAATATTGAATATAATCATCTTGTTCAAATAATGGATATTTTTAATTGTTTTATATTTTTGCTAATATGTTATACTACAGGTGCTAACATCAGGGGGATCGTGGGACTGGGGATACAATGATGAATCCCTGCATTTACCAGTATGGTGTTCCCCCGAAAAACTGGTGTTGTAAACAGGTACCCGGTAGGTTGAGTGAGTGAGTGTGTGAGTGAGTGAGGTTTTACACTTTTAGCAATATTCCAGCACTATCACATCGGGGGACACTGGAAATGCAGTAGGATGAGACACTGATATGAGTGTCAACCTGGAGTGTCACAGACAGCTATATTAGGGTTGTATAATCCCAAAAGAGATGAGTGAGTGAGTTAGTGAGTTGAATTTTACGCCGCATTCAGCAATATTCCAGCAATATGGCGGCAGTCTGTAAATAATCAACTCTGGACCAGACAATCCAGTGATCAACAGCATGAGCATCAATCTGACATCAAATGACATGTGTCAACCAGCCAGTGAGCCTGACCACCCGATCCCGTTAGTCGCCTCTTCAGGTTTAATGAAGATCAATATTCTAACCCATCCAAAAGAGATGCGAAAAGCAATTGCAGACTGATCCCCTGAAACAGGTGAGGGTAACTTCAGGCTCCTGAGGTGCGGAAATATAAATGGTCCTAATATCATAACAGGACAGTTGTTAGTTAACCCCAGGTAGCCCTTATCACGATATTGTATAACTGTATATAGAAACCTGACAGAGCAATATGGGTCGTAGTGCACAGAAGCAGTAAACATTGATAACGCACATCATATATACCATGGCTCCAGGGGTAGTCTACCAGCAGCAACTGAGTTGAACTAGTCTGCTTGTAACACTAATAAAAACAAACAGGCCATTTCCATGTGGACAACGACTTCAGATATTATACATGGGCTTGGGAAAGATTACTTATAAATCATTTCCATGTGGACACCGACTTCAGATATTATACATGTGCTTGGGAAAGATTACTTATAAATCATTTCCATGTGGACAACGACTTCAGATATTATACATGTGCTTGGGAAAGATTACTTATAAATCATTTCCATGTGGACACCGACTTCAGATATTATACATGTGCTTGGGAAAGATTACTTATAAATCATTTCCATGTGGACAACGACTTCAGATATTATACATGTGCTTGGGAAAGATTACTTATAAATCATTTCCATGTGGACAACGACTTCAGATATTATACATGTGCTTGGGAAAGATTACTTATAAATCATTTCCATGTGGACAACGACTTCAGATATTATACATGTGCTTGGGAAAGATTACTTATAAATCATTTCCATGTGGACACCGACTTCAGATATTATACATGTGCTTGGGAAAGATTACTTATAAATCATTTCCATGTGGACACCGACTTCAGATATTATACATGTGCTTGGGAAAGATTACTTATAAATCATTTCCATGTGGACACCGACTTCAGATATTATACATGTGCTTGGGAAAGATTACTTATAAATCATTTGCATACTTTCTTTTTAGATGATTAGATGGTTACCATGTTTACTCCGTAGCAAAGCTGCCTTTTTGTGTGGAAAACAGAAATATATTTTTAACCCTTTTTTTGCAGTAAACTGCAGTAAAGGGCCACGTCAGGATCTGATACCACAAGTCATGCAAGTCTTCATGGATAATAATAATCAGAAGATGAATATATTTCAGATGTTTGATTGTCATGAAGATACTTACCTAAAATTCCTGTCCCAAGTATAGTTGCAATTGTGACAAAGTCTGCAAAAAGTATAATTAGCATAAATTAATGGATATGATGCATGCATTTCAGAAAAAAATCGAAACATTTTACTCATGAAAATGAGATGCCATCAGTCACAAGCTTCACATTACGTTCAACATGCTCAGCATGTTGACACTAAAAGGAAATTGTACTCTATCAGATTTGTTGTTGAATTTCTCTCTGTAAAGTTCATGTTAATCTAACAGTTAAGATGTCCCTGAAAAAACTGGGAATGATAATTGATGATGTCACACCTCGCTTTAGAGCAGCAAAACACTATCAATGTCATTGTCGATATTCATAAACTGGGTAGCCCATATAGCTGATATGTTATCAAGAAACAGCATGCTGATGCTAAATATTTCTTAAATAAAACTTCTGTATTTTCATAAAGAGTATTAATATGTTTCAATTTTAACATGATTAAAATATAGATGTACGTTCAATGTTTCATATAAAACACACTAGAAACTTATTTTAAACAAATTTTATGAAGATGAAGAGAGGTGTGGGTGACAGGGTAAAACAGAGAATCCTGATCGGAGTGGAATCCACCCTAAAAATATCTCTGACAATGCCACTGTCCGACTTGTGCGACAGCTGACAACATCATCATGATCATCTCAGCTTGATTAAAGTTTTAACATTTCCATTTGCACGCCAAATATGCTGTCATAATTATTGAAAATATAAAATGTGTGTCTGAGTTAATCAACTTACAACATTGTAAATATACGAGCAGCTTTGAACCTCCTGATGATCCTCTCGCTTCCAATCTTCGCGGCATATCGTTTCAGTTATCTTATCTATGTCCGTGACACGGGCACCTGCCAAGTCAAACCATGGGCGCAGACATCTTGAAATTAGGTCCGGTTGTTTTCATACGCATTTTAATAAATACGACAGAATGGTATCATATACTATCAGCAATTCCGTTACAATAACTGGTATTGAAAGTTAATGAAGCATTGTACATGTGTCCAAAATATATCAATGTTTGGCGGTGATACGGTGTATCAAAACAAAGAACTACTTTTAGTTTCGCAATCGTTTCCTTGATGGTGTTACGAGGACTCGCCGGCGTATTTCGAGGTGATGATTTGAGTAGCAGGTGTTAGTGCCTTGATTAAATGGTCTTTGAGCAATGACAGTAAAATGTCTAGTGGTGGATGGAGTCGTTGTATGGCAAAGCCCATGCGGAAAATGAAAATTGATAGACTGTTAACTTATTCGTGTGTATTTTGATCGTATTAGTTATGCCATAGTTAACAACTGGATGTAACTAGTTAGGCCCACGGAAATATCACCACACTTGTGGAATATATTAGAGCTAATGTGACATCTCATGAGCGCTTGAATTAAATCATATTGATGTTGCAAAATCGGAACATAGTGAAAGTTGAATCTAAAATTTATGGTTGAAGTCCATCCAGGTGCAACTGTGCAATTTGTCCACCAACTATAAAAGTGAAACAATTTAAAGCAATTTCGAAATAGATAGTCATGCTTTGTTTTGTTGTTAGGGTAAGGTTATTGAGAGAGTCCCATTAGGATTGGCTTACCTACCCCCTCTTCCACAAAAGCTTTAAGTAAGTGTGCTGTATGTTAACAGCACATGTTTATTAAAATGTGGCCTTGATCAATATATCACCGATGATAATGTTACTCTCATAGGCTAACATGAGTGAAATTCACGTCCATTATCATATCACTGCCATATGCAACTTTAAAAATAACAATAGTGGTTTCACATGCTTAACAAAATTAGGACAAGAGTGCACTTAACCAGGAGCATCCCTCACGGATCGCTGCGGAGCAATTATCGCACAATCTAATTATATCATGATAATTGCTCTGTCTCCCTTTGCTGCCAGTCTATCACACATGTTTAGAGGCAAACAACCCTTTACAATCCTTAGGGTTATGTACCCTTTACAATCCTTAGGGTGAGGTACCCTTTACAATCCTTAGGGTTAGGGTTTGGCACCTTTTCTGATCCTTAGGGTTTAGGGTGAGGTACCCTTTCTGATCCTTAGGGTTAGGTACCCTTTACAATCCTTAGGGTTAGGGTTTGGCACCTTTTCTGATCCTTAGGGTTTAGGGTGAGGTACCCTTTCTGATCCTTAGGGTTAGGTACCCTTTACAATCCTTAGGGTTAGGGTTTGGCACCTTTTCTGATCCTTAGGGTTTAGGGTGAGGTACCCTTTCTGATCCTTAGGGTTTAGGGTTAGATACCCTTTCCAATCTTTAGGGTTAGGATAGGGACCCTTTCCGATCCTTAGGGAGCTGACACGTCTTCAGAGGCAAACAACCCATTCCGATCCCTAGGGTTAATGGTCAGACCTTACCTTAGGGCAGTGTAATCCAATTGAAACGCATTTCGCCCCATCCGGGACTCGTAAGTACAGTCCCAGAAACAATGGCGCGAAAATAAATGACTGGGAAGGGTGTGGTACAGGATTGCATGCGTGAGAAATGGAAACAAACCCTGTGCAATGGTTTGTTTTCATTTCTCGCACTTGCACCTCACTGCTGTGCTAATGACCCATTAAAGAAGGACTCATTAACTGTGATGGCGCTCCTGGTCTGGAGGTAGAGCATCTGCTAATTACGTCACTAATTAACGAAGTCAGTAATCCGATGAAGGGCCTTCCATCCCCATTAGCCCATATTAATCTGAAAAAGTGCACCTGGTAAGGCACTACTCCCAAAATATGAAACTTAACACCCACAATATTGGTAATAATTTTGAGGGATAGTTCTTTTAGTTTCTTTTTGTGCCTTTCTCATGGCAATGCAAGTTATTCTCTTTGATCCTGGCCTGGGTGATCTACGTGAAAAATCTGATCAAAAGGTGTGAAACACAACAATCACTAGCAGTGAGCCATGTGATGAATGCAAGCACATAGACATTGGTTTACAAGAAAACACATCAAAATTGTCAGGTTAATCCAAAAGCGAATATGCTACTGCTCACAAATCAGCAAGTGATTGTCACCCAGGCAAATGTTTCTGCCATACAGTATTGGGACCAACAGTTTTATCAGTTGCAACTTCACATTGGGAGGGTTATGGAGGCCATACATTATTTTTTCAATCAAATGATGCCATTGTGTCGAATGTGAAGAGACCTGCGGAAATACTTTAGTTATCCAATGTTCAAAACAACCACGAAATGATGGCTAACTAATATCTAGGTAGGTACAAAGCTTCTAGTTCGAGACAACATCGTGTCAATTTATTTATCTTTTCAGCAACCATGGCAACTATAACAGAAGTTTCTTCAAATAAAATGTTTGGAGGTTGGCAGAAGGTTTTCAGCCATGAAAGGTATTCTTTTGCAATGAAATGTTCTGTTTCACCAATCTATGTCAGAATTTTGATTTTGGATGTAATCGCAATGGCACTAAGGGGATCCTTGAATAACATGGGGTCTCCTAAGATGGTATTTGAATTTTCGGGCTCTGAGTTGTTTAGCTTTAATTGTTAGATAATATTACAATAACTTGTTGACTTCTACTTTGATAATGTTTAATATAATCGTTTACTTAGTGTGATTGTCACATGAAGATAGTCACCCCATTATTGTTTCTGATTACTTGTAGTGGAGAAGTGGTGTAGTCTGTTAGCCATGTGTGCAGTTGACAACCATCCTCGATAATCTCCAGGGTTTATGTTACGATAAAACTCCACTATACCCTGGATGCATCTACGGCTCGGCCTGATGATTTTATTACCTTCCTTGGCTGGCTTTTTATCCAATCAGGTGTCTACGCTGGGAAGTTGAGCGTACCAATCACAACTCACTTTCGCTTCTTAAATTATCTAACCTATTAAACTTGGCAACACAAATGATGCAGAGGTACTCTGAAATAGGTAGAAGGTGTTCTTTCATTTTTTTAACGTTTTGGACCTGTCAGTTTGTCTGTATGATTTCCTCCGAAATCTGAGTGGCACTGCGAACAAACCTTCGCGGCTGCGACCGCTATCTTTGTTGACACTGGCAAGTTCGGTTGTAGCAGCGGCTTAACTGATTGGCAACTGTGAGAATGCAGAGCCAGCAGCTAGCTATCATTGATAGATTGTGATGTCATTAGTATTTGGTATGTCGACAGTGCTGTCGTATTTGTGATTCGATAGGTGATAAGAACTGATTGGTAATTGACGAATGATATGCAAGGTGTGATTAGCGATGATTGGTGGTAGTAATAATGACAATATACCTGCAGCTAAACCCAACTGTCTGTCATTTATTCTGTGTTATGATTGTTTGTGAAGTTGAAGGATGAATGTTTGTTTCAGCTCTGAGGTTAAATGTACAATGAAGTTTGGCATCTATTTGCCTCCCCAGGCAGAGGGAGGGAAGGTACCTGTATTGTACTACTTGTCAGGTAAGTGTATGCAGCAGTTACCTCCCTTCGATGTGCCCTGATGTGTCCTCAAGGTGTCTGTAAAAGTGTGGGAGTTAGGATCAACACAGCAGTACAATCACCTTGTAGAGCAGGCCTGATCTGCTTGGTTGTCCGACTGTCCAGATGAATGTACTGTTCCCAGCTGATGCAGCAGTACAATCACCTGAGCTGCTTGGTTGTCTGACTGTCCAGATGAATGTATTGTTCCCAGCTGATGCAGCAGTACAATCACCTGAGCTGCTTGGTTGTCCGACTGTCCAGATGAATGTACTGTTCCCAGCTGATGCAGCAGTGGACATGCAGTTTGCTATGTAATGGGTAACATCTACCATATTTTCCCAAGGATAGAGCACAGTGCTTCTGGAGGAGTCAGTAATTTGGAAACAAATTTGTCTGAGTATTATACTCAAATGAACTTCAGTGTATGCCTTCAGCAAATTCAGGCATGATGAACATGAGATTCTTGAGAGGCATTTAGAAGTTGGTGAATATATTAGACAAGTATATGGATAAACGTCTTATTTATTCTTATCAATCACCTGAAGAAGGGCCAAAAAGTGGCCCAGAACGTTGTGTTATACAATAAATAAGAAGTTGCCATCCATATACTACTTGTTTTCAGTTGTGAAAATACTCACAGAGAGAATTCACAAAGAATAACATGATAATGTTTTTAACCAGTTCCTACACTTTATCACTACTGTGGATCCAGGCTTACGTCTGTTGTGTCATGTTTGTCACCATGTTTCAGGCTTGACATGCACAGAGCAGAACTTTGTCACCAAAGCTGGTGCCCAGAAAGTAGCCTCTGAGCTCGGCATCATCCTTGTCGCCCCCGACACTAGTCCAAGTAGGTGCTGGATGTTATACAATTGGTGATTTCTCATGAGAACAGTTCCTGTTTTTGTATGGACTAGGAAAGAAACATTTTGGTTCATTCTATAAAAGCAAGTATTGTCTCTACATAGGGAGCCTGTAATTGGTTTATAATGTACATAAAGAGACGAAAGCAGGTTCTACATGTCTAGTTGTGTTAGCTACAGTCTGTTTGACTCAAAAGCGGACCGATGAATTGCCATATAACTCAAAAACTAATAAACATATGATACTCAATAAAATGCTGATAATAATCAAAACATCAGACCAATGATGTTTTGGCAGAATTTAAGCCCTAAAAATAGAAAAGTTGTTTAACAAACTATCATTAAAATATTGACACAGTTAACTATTTGTTACGAGGGAGGAGTGCAGAGAAAGGGACAGACATCTGAGTGGCTTAGGCTTGAGAAATACTATTTGTGGGTATTTCCCATTCTATTTTTTAGTAACTCAGTACATGTATTATAAATGATCCGACCTGACATGAAATCAATGTGCAGTTCTGTGGAATGACACTTGCCTACATCTAGGCAGTGTGTGTGGTTGGAAACGTTGTGTTATACAGTAATTGACATGGTGATGATGACAGTTCACTAAACTCTGTGGAAGGCATTTGAAGTATAACGCCAGGACCGGTCCACATGCAGTTTTGCTATATATACAAAATATGCAGAACACTTAACCACTCTGCATGGATTGTGTATACCCGGACCTAATCAAGCCTTGAATTTAAATATCACAGTTGTAAATAAACATTAACACAATGGCCATGACTACAGAAGTACAAGTTGCAGGAGAATGTTTGGCAAATTCATAAATAAGAGAGGGTCTAATAATGAGGGCATGATTATTTCAGGAGGATGTAACATTGAGGGGGAAGACGAGAGCTATGACTTCGGTTCGGGGGAGCTGGCTTCTACGTTGATGCCACCCAGGACAAGTGGAAGACCAACTACAGGATGTACTCGTACGTCACTAAGGAGGTCAGTAGGTCACTGATGGTTGTAGATAATCCTGGCATTTTCATTTAGGAATGATATGACCTTCATTGTTTGACAGGCATGGTTCTTATTGCATGTACTACTCTGTATAAGTCTTCCTGCCTTTGTTGAATGTTACATGTTTCTGTTGTCTTCCTGCAGCTTCCAGCCCTCATCAACTCCAACTTCCCCGTCTTGTCCGATAAGGCAGGAATCACCGGGCACAGGTAAACTTGTTACCATGGTTACTGCTTTGTAAAAAACTTGCATTTTCCATGCCATTACAAGAATTACAGAAAACAGAGAAATTTTTAAACTTATCCTAACTCACGGTATGCACCGCTCTTCTTCTATGACCATGTGTGGAAACGTGCTGTAGGCTAAGTTGAATCAAAACTTCCTGGCCTCTGACCCCCAAACCTCTGCCCCCACTCCGATAGCAGTACCTGTCAATCATCTCAATAAGCGTGCAGATCGCTAAGATGATCACGTGACATTCTGTGCCTGTCATTCTCTTTCTTGTCGCTACGTCGTGTGGATGTGTGCTGATTCTTAGTGAGATTTTGACTTGAGATTTTTCCAATAAACGCAAACATTGCGACAGGTGTAATAGTACCTTTTCTGCCGCAGACCCACATGCGTTGTGTGTGGATTGTTTGGGACGTTGCGACTGGTCGCACCGTTGTACTTACGGTGATAAACTTGATGATGATGCCAAGGCGATACTGTTCGAAACATACATCGACGACTGTATCCAGGCTCAGACCGACCGTGCACTCCTCCTACGTCACATGGTGTTCACGATGATTGTATCCAGGCTCAGTCCGACCGTGCACTCCTCCTACGTCACATGGTGTTCACGATGCAGCTACTTCGCCAGTTAGGCTGGCTTGTCAACATGGAGAAGTCAGAACTAGTCACTTCACGCTGCCTGCAGTTTATCGGAGCGATGTTCAACACAGAGCTCAACAGACTGTTTGTGCCGAGGGACCGTTTCTACAAGATCCGACGGTTAATTCCCCTTGCGTTGTCTCAACCCAGGAGTCTTCGTCAATGGCATAAGCTCCTGGGTCTCTTGACGTCGGCCCAGGCGTTGACCCTCGTTCGACCTTTGCAGTTGTTTCTGGCTCCACACAACAGGGTGGGCAACCCGCTTTCACTGATCACGTTACCTCCGCTCTCCATCCCCATCTCCTATGGCGGATGGAAGAGTCTGCGCCGGAGTCTGCTTAAGGCCATTCGTCCCGACTCACCACCTGTACGTGGACGCATCTCTACACGGGTGGGGAGCTCACCTTCTCGATGAGCAAGTGGCAGGACAGTGGTCTTTGCAGATCGCGCTTACCACATCAACATTCTGGAGCTCTGGGTTGTGATTCTTTCCATCACTCACTGGCAAGAGATTCTACGATCGACCTCTCTCATGGTTTGGTCGGACAATGCAGCGGTAGTGTGCCACATCAACCAGATGGGGTCTCCTCAACTCCTGCAGTGGACACAACAGTTCTTCCAGCTGGTGGACAATCTCAACATCTCCGTTCGAGCCAACCATATTCCAGGAGTGAAGAACTTGATTGCGGATTCTCTGTCCCATCCGCTTCATCCCTCCCCGACAGAGTGGAAACTACATTCACAGGTGTCTCCGAGTCCGGACCCTCTTGCCTGGGGTCTCGACGCTCTAGCCATTCCTTGGGACGACCTAAATGCGTACGCGTTTCCAGGGCCGGTGGGGTAGCCTAATAGTTAAAGCGTTCGCTCGTCACGCCGAAGGCCCGGGTTCGAATCCCCACATGGGTACAATGTGTGGAGCCCATTTCTGGTGTCCCCCGCCGTGATGTTGCTGGAATATTGCTAAAAGTGGCGTAAAACCAAACTCAGTCAGTCAGTCGTACGCGTTTCCACCACGCATACTACTGAAATTGCGCAAGATTCTGCTGATGACACTGCTTTTGGTCGCGCCCTATTGGCCGGCCAGAAGGTGGTTCGTAGATCTACAAGAATCCAGATCCTGTACCACTTCTCAATTACGTTGATCTTCTGGTTCAGCCGCACTCAGATCAGCTGGTCTCTGCTCACACTCCATCTTCACGTTTGGCGCATCTCCATAAGTCGCTAACTGCAAAGGGATATTCTAAGCATGTCGCTACTGCCATCACTACAGCGCATCGCACCTCCACTAGGTCACTCTACTAGACTTTGAGCAGGTCACTTTTAAGACCTTCTTTCTCTTGGCTTTGGCCACTGCTGCCCGCATTTCCGAGTTACACGCCCTCAACGTCTCCCGGGTGTGTTTTGAGAGGTCAAGACATGCAAAAGTCTTTCTTTGTTTGAGGTTGGACTTCGTCGCCAAGAACCGTCTACCAGGACAGCCGGACCGCACGTTCACGATTCCACCGCTGTCCACTATCTTGGGTCCTGATGACACGGAAGATCTTTTCCTGTGCCGAGTTCGAGCATTGTGGATCTACTTGGCTGCTTCTAAGGACCGACGCAGGTTGCGCAAGAGTCTCTTCATCCCATTGTCTGCTGCCTCCAACTCGGAAGTCTCTCACACCACTTTGGCGTTTTGGACGAGATCCACTATCCTGCGTGCCTATGCCTATGCCGACCTTCCTCCACCTTCGACAGCGAATCCTCATGAAACTCGGGCCCTAGCTTCCACCATGGCGCTTCATAGGAACTGTTCCCTTCAGGCATTCATGGAGGGATGTTTTTGGAAGTCGGATACCGTTTTTGCCTCACACTATCTTCGGGATCTCTCAGTCATGGACTTGGAGGGTCTGCACCAGTTCGGTCCTCTGGTCCTAGCTCAGCAGCTGTCATCGACCCATGCGCGCAGATGAGAAGCAATCCTTCTGAATGTCGGCTTTGCTTTCTGTACTTAATAAAAGATATCGATGTCATCTTTTTTATCTTGGGCTTAGACAACCTCACCTAGGGAACCAGGGCGTGTCTGCACTGTCATAGATATGACTCAATAGACTTAGAGGCCAGTCTTGTGCTACATGCAGAGGTTGTCGACACTTCGCTTACTGACCTCTACTCTCTGAGCAATTACGTCAGTGAAGTGTTGATTCCCGATTACCTGTGTGGTTTTCGAAGCGTTTCGCTCCTAGTCCTTTCTTCTCTTGGTAAGTAGGGGGATTGGTACTGAACTTTAAACCAGTTGAGCAACCGGGGTATTCCCTCTTTCACCGCCTTCCAGCGTGTGTCTGTGGGGGGTACTGTCATGCGACCACATGGTTGTAGTGTTGATACAGGGTAATCTGCGGCCCACCAGTCAACCGTGGGATAATGCATACCATGAGATAGGATAAGTTTAAAAATTTGGAAATTTTAACCATAAATTGTACATATATATACTTATCCTATCCCACGCGATGGATGCCCACCTGATCTGCCCCACATCTCAGATTACTGGACGCTCCAAGACGAGAATGAAAGGTACAGAACGTCACATGATCATCTGAGCGATCTGCACGCTTATTTAGATGATTGACAAGTACTGCTATCGGAGTGGGGGCAGAGGTGAGGTGGTCAGTGGTCAGAGGCCAGGAAGTTTTGATTCAACTTAGCCTACAGCACGTTTCCACACATGGTCGTAGAAGAAGAAGAGCGGTGCATACCGTGAGATAGGATAAGTATATAAATATACAATTTATGGTTAACATTTCCAATATTATTTTGCCTCAAACATAAATGTCGTTTTCTGATTGGCTGAGCGCTCATCTATTATTTTCAATGTACCCCGCTTATAAGCAAGTAACATTTTCTATGTACCCCGCTGGGAATGCCGAACTCATTTGGTACTTCGTAGTAGTAATTCTTTATCTCGAATAACATTGAATCACATATGATGTACAGAAATTACCAATGTTTTGCGAATGCAAATCGATGGAAGGGAGATAACTCTAAATATGTTTTTCTTGTCGTCTGCAAAATTTAGCAATGGCTACAAAAAGATTTGTACCCGTGATTCAAACAATTCAAAATTAACATTGAGGTGTTCGGTAAGATAAATACGTTGTTCACTGGTCCCTCGGAGCCCATGGGTTGATGTACCCTCGATGTTTGTTTATGTTCCCCTCGCCCTTCAGGGTTAGGGTTAGGGTACATCAACCCATGTCCCCCTCATGATCGAAGTAACGGGGGTATATAGCATTCATTCCGTCCGTCCGTCCATCCCGAAACTTTGTCTGGAGCATAACTCTTAAAGTTTACATGCTAGGTTCACCAAACTTCACACACATGTTAATCATTACCCATTGATGTGCCTTTTGCTGTTTTAATTTTTTTTCAGAATTTTGTTTTATTGCTGTTTCCATGGAAACACGACTTAGTGCCAAATGTGTTTGATGGTTTTGTCCGGAGCATATCTCTTAAAGTTTACATGCTAGGTTCACCAAACTTCACACACATGTTAATCATTACCCATTGATGTGCCTTTTGCTACTTTAAAGTATTTTCAGAATTTTGTTTTTTTTGTTGTTTCCATGGAAACATGACTTGGTGCCAAATGTGTTTGATGGTTTTGTCCGGAGCATATCTCTTAAAGTTTACATGCTAGGTTCACCAAACTTCACACACATGCTAATCATTACCCATTGATGTGCCTTTTGCTATTTTAATTTTTTTTCAGAATTTGTTTTGTTGTCGTTTCCATGGAAACACGACTCAGTGCAAAATGTGTTTGATGGTTACCTGGCCACAGCACATCATTGATACCATACATGCTAGGTTCACCAAACTTAATACACAAGTTAATCATAACCCACAGATATGCCATGTGCTAAAAAATAACAATCTTCATCTACGTCCACTTCATTGTGTGCAACAAGTTCAATTGTATGTCAGGTTTCCACGGAAAACACAAAAAAATAATGTTTCCATAAATTATTACTGTAATCAGTACATGGCAAAACTATTATCTAACATGTATATAAAGTTTAGTAGAGTCAAGGAGAAAGTCTTGTGAGCTGCTGATCCTTGTCACATTATATATATCAATATCAGTCATTTCCATGTCCCAAAGTGGGAAGCGGGGGTATGTGGGCTGTGCTCACTTCTACACTTGTTATGTTTGATTTACTTGAATCTGTAATTGGTTACAATGTTGCTACCATACTTGTCTAACTCACTCACATTCCGTCATGCCTTATGTTCCACACTGCTTCAGTATGGGAGGCCATGGAGCCCTGATCTGTTCCTTAAAGAACCCTGGCCTGTACAAGTCCGTGTCAGCCTTCGCTCCCATTACCAACCCCATCAGCTGTCCATGGGGCCAGAAGGCCTTCTCTGGTTACCTAGGTGACAACAAGGAGGCGTGGCAGGTAGGTCACATGACATTTCCTTTAGTCAGGAAGTTCTGTCTGAGTGTCTCAAATCAGCAAATCATTGTTGTCATTGGTATCCATGGTAACAATTTTCTGTCCTGCTAGTTTTTAACTTGTGTAGTTGATGATGTTGTCTACAATCCTTTGTTCTTCCATGTAGGACTACGATGCGTGCTGTCTTGTCAAGAAGTATAACGGTCCACCTCTGGAGATACTCGTGGACCAGGTGAGCTCCACATGATCAGAGCAGTATTGAGACATCATAAAGGGGCATGTAAGGGTCTGCCCTGTGGACCAGGTGAGCTCCACATGATCAGAGCAGTATTGAGACATCATAAAGGGGCATGTAAGGGTCTGCTCTGTGGACCAGGTGAGCTCCACATGATCAGTGCAGTATTGAGACATCATAAAGGGGCATGTAAGGGTCTGCACTGTGGACCAGGTGAGCTCCACATGATCAGAGCAGTATTGAGACATCATAAAGGGGCATGTAAGGGTCTGCACTGTGGACCAGGTGAGCTCCACATGATCAGAGCAGTATTGAGACATCATAAAGGGGCATGTAAGGGTCTGCTCTGTGGACCAGGTGAGCTCCACATGATCAGTGCAGTATTGAGACATCATAAAGGGGCATGTAAGGGTCTGCACTGTGGACCAGGTGAGCTCCAGGTGATCAGAGCAGTATTGAGACATCATAAAGGGGCATGTAAGGGTCTGCTCTGTGGACCAGGTGAGCTCCAGGTGATCAGAGCAGTATTGAGACATCATAAAGGGGCATGTAAGGGTCTGCACTCTGCTGTGATGCAACCCTTGGGCTCACCACAAAAATCTATGATTGTGGGTTTGATTGCTGGTTCGCCCGACTGTGGTTCAGGTGTGTCAGCACCATACCAGTGCTTGTGTCATAAAAGTCTTAGGCACATGTTTCAGTTCAGGCTTTCTCCACACATCAAGCCGAAACTCTGTGATATTACTGGAGCACAGTCTCACTCACTCACCCACTGTCCCTCACTCACTCACATCTTAGCTTGAATTTTTGATACATTTTTCATTTCATCAGATTTGTAAATGATGATCCACAAAATGTTTAAGTATTTGAAATAATAATACATAATTTGCTATGAATTGTGTTGCTATGGTTACAGGGTAAAAGTGACAACTTCCTGACCCAAAATCAGCTCCTCCCTGACAACCTGACCCAGGCGTGTGCGGAGAGCAAGATGCCCATCGTCATGAGGATGCAGGAGGTATGTTGAAAGACAAATATTGCACTTTTGATATAATAGAATCAGTGGTATCTCGTCAGATGATAAACCATTCTGTGTTAATGTAGAGCTAGCTTATCTGTATTTTCAGCCGCCTTGATTTCAATTTGGAATCGGGGCAGTGGGGTAGCCTAGTGGTTAAAACATTCGCTCATCACGCCAAAGCCCCGGGATCAATTCCCCACATGAGTTCATTGTGTGAAGCCCATTTCTGGGATCCACTGTCATGATATTGCTGGAATATTGTTAAAAGCTGCATAATACTAAACTCACTCAATTTGGAATGGAACATGCAGCTGTACTTTAAGTATTATAGTAATCCCATATTCTAAATTTTGTAACTTATAATTCCATGTCTGATTATTTGAAAATGTCTACTGGTCTATAGACCATCTCGGTGGGTTAGTTGTCTCAGTGGTCTTGATGGCGTAGTTCATCTACTGTATACTCTGTAGGTGAAAGTTCAGTGGGTCAGTCCCTGGCCACGTGATACCAAAAGACTGTACTACTTGTTGCACACCCTGAGTGGATTAAACAACGACTAGGAATTGGAATACTGGAATTGGAATTGTCCGAACTGGGCACCCTGTCCTACTGGGGTGTGGTATCTGTGGACTAACATCTGCCGATGCCATGAGCTCCATATTTTCACCATGATGGTAAATATCTCGGTTTTAATAATAAGCACAACATGGTTTTGTTTCAGGGCTATGACCACAGTTACTTCTTCATCGCCTCCTTCATCGACGACCACATCAGACATCATGCACGATTCCTCAAGGCCTAGGGGAGATAACTCTGTCCAGCATGAAACTGCAGCAGTCTCTAGCCAATGTCTGTGTTTTATTCTGTTACGTCTTTAAGTTCTGTTGATGTCTGGAGTGTCTGGCTACTGCCATGTTGGTTGTTTGAGGACTGGATTAAATGTCATATAATGTCCCATCGATCATTGGATGCTCGGAATATGTGATCAGGTGAAATATTTCAGATGCAACATGATGTTGGCTTCTAATCAAGGTAACCTTTGTTTCCCAGAGATGCCGTTCAGGTCGATTCTGACGACTCTACTGTCATATTGGGAATTTGTTGTACATGGAACAGGTTGATTTTTCAATAATCATCAAGTTTTGTTAAAGAGTGCTTTTAATTTTACAAGTACTGGTGCATTTATGTAACAGTTTTGGGCAGATTTTGGTCGATTTATGTGTTTCTGGATTACAGCATGTATATTGTATGTATTTACTGAGTTACTCAGTCTGGTGGCAGAAGTGGACAATGGCCAAGCTTTGTCCATTTCAAGTTGGTGCATGGATTCCTAGAAACATTGATTCCAAAAGATTGATTCTTTTGTTCTGCTAAATGCACATGTGTTGGCAAAGTCCCTTTACAAGAGCTTCTTGTTTCGGGCTTGAAGCTAAGATCAATTACATCTGATAAGTTCCTGTAATCAGCAGGTGGTGGGCTTGGCTAGCGGTTAAAGCGTTTGCTCGTCACGCCAAAGACCTGGGTTCGATTCCCCAGCCAACTCCCGCCACAGGCCGCAGTAATTCAGTGAGAGAGATATCTAATTCATATTGTGCTTCACAACTAGCTAATACATGTGCTGAACCCTTTGGTTCATAAAGCAATGTTTGCTCAGCAACTTGTGAGTAGCCCTAAGGACCATTAAGGAGTGTTTCATTGGAAAGGGGTACCCAACCAAAGTGATAGGAAAGGGATACTTGATTAGAAAGGGTATCGGAGTGCTATGGTTAGAGTTTGGGTAAAACCTGTAAGAGGCAGTGAGATCTGTGAAATGAGAATTAGCCAGTTAGTGGTATGTCTCGCTATGTAGTGTCCACCACTGAAGTATAGTTCATACAAATGGTTGACCTGCATGACTGTGGAGACAAACTTCACTAACACTGCTTCTGTGGCAACATGTCTAGAGAACTTTACTACAGTAAATCTGTTAATATCCTTTTTTTGCATTATTGTATTTTCTACAGACTTTTTCATCCAGAAAATCTGTAAACCCAGACATATAGAAACTAGCCTCTGACCACGCAAGGCGCTATTGGTAGCCTTTCACAGCTGTAATAGCCTGGCCCTTTATCCACATACTCAACTTCAGTCAGTAAACAGTGGACTCGACCATGATATTTTATACATGAGAATAAAACTTTTGTAATCTAACCTGTTGTTGTTACATTTACTACTGATCATAATAACACTCTTCGTGTATCTCACCCTATGTGGTCACAAGTATCAGTGTATGAAATAAGGCAAACACCCAGCCAGACATCAGGATTGGTAACTTCAAAATGTTACCAGCCCAAAATGGATTCAACCAAACCAGACACCAAGATATGATGAATTTGCTCAGATGTATGGAAAGTTTTTACTAGCACAATTGGCTGGCTAGCTTTAAATCTAGACCTCCATCGAAAATCTCGGCGGTCGGACGGGCCTTATTTCATACACTGCAAGTATCCTTTTCTTCTTCCTTCCTTTTCTCACCCTTACAAGGTAATTATTTAAATAACCTCTGCGGGGGGATATAGGGGTAGGTTCTGTTGACTGTAAGCACCTGTCCCTTACGTCTTCATCCTCCCAGTAGCACCTGTAGGTTAGTGAGCTTCCTCTGGACAGGAGAGCTGTGTGACAAAATGCAGCAAAGAGAACAGTGCGACAAAACGCACCCGAACACATATAGCTATGGACATGAAAACTTTGATTTTCACTTGCAAAATGGACGCTACATGTGATTTCGTGTATGTTTAAAGTTAAGTTGTGTGTTGTACCTCAATTTTGCAACATGTAATAATGTAATACATTTGGAACTCCCTCCCATGTGCCCTTAAAAGCTCTGCCACAATTGACATTTTTAAGTCCAGACTTAAAACCCACCTTTTCTCAGTATATTATGTATAACTTCATCTGTAAATACTCCAGTGTAAATATTCTGTAGCGCTTTGAGCATGCCTTAGGGTTAGTGAGTGAGTTGAGTTTTACGCCACACTCAGCAATATTCAAGCTATATGGCGGCAGTCTGTAAATAATCGAGTCTGGACCAGACAATCCAGTGATCAACAGCATGAGCATCGATCTGCGCAATTGGGAACCGATGACATGTGTCAACCAAGTCAGCGATCCTGACCACCCGATCCCGTTAGTCGCCTTTTACGACAAGCATAGTCGCCTTTTCTAGCAAGCATGGGTTGCTGAAGGGCTATTCTACCCCGGACCTTCACGGGTCTGCATGCCTTAGGGTGTGGAAGGGGCGCATTATAAATATGCATTGATTATAATACAGGAATTTAGAATAGAAATGTTGCATAAAAGCAACTTAGTTGTTCACTTATAAAAGTGGATCTAAAAACACAAAGGTGTGTAAAAGCATTAAGATAGTAAATTGTGTAATTTAATAGCTTTAATAAAAGTGGAATTTGTCTTAGTTAGAATTGAGTTTTGATATTTGCAGTTATCTTCACTCCATTTAATGGTAGCAGAGCGTGGTTGGGCCTGTAACCCAGCGTAGTTGTTGAATGCGAAGTAGTTTCAGTGTTAGCATCTGTAATAAGAATAGGATACAGGTAAGTTTGAATATTATTGTGAACTTTAGTTGAATTTAGTCTGTGAGCAAGTTGTTACTCAAGTTATGGCTGAATCAGTGTCAAACATGCCACAAAAAGGAAGTGATAAAATGGAACCTCCAAATGAAGGTCAAGTATTAGACCAACATATCCGTAACCTTAAACAGGAAAAAGCCAACACTAAATGTGCCTTCACCAAAGGAAAAAATAAATTGAACACTTTAGTTGAACAAGATATGTCAAACGAAGTGCAATTAGGGAAGGCATTGATCAAGTTAGTTCACTACAGGTGAAAGTCATGGATATTATGGTAAAGCTTACACAAGCTTACACAGGTGCTCATGATACTGGTAATGTGAATAAGGTGGATGTTGAAATATCACAACTTGAAGCTGAAACTTCTAAAGTGATAGACATTGCACAGAAGTATTTAGATAGTGGTTCAAGGACCTGTTCACTCTCTAGCCATAGATTGTCCAGGTTGTTTAAAAGTGATAACAAACCTAAACCCAGTAAAGATCAAACTGTAGTTGTAGAAAAAAGACATGACTTCAACAGAAATATGAAGGCAACAAGTGGTATGAGCAGAGATAACCGTGATGAACAGAAATATAATCATAAGGAAGGTTATTCTGTGAAACAGTCCCATGTATGTGGAAATATAGGAAGCATCACAGGTTTGCGCGACACTGAGGATCAGTATGAGTTTCCTTATCGCCATGAAGGTAGGTTTGAAAACAGAGGAAAGCAAAACACTGCTGTTGGTAATGACATGTGGAAACAACTAAAATTTCAATACCAGTGTTTTCTTGGGATGTCAAGACATATGAAAGTTGGAAGGCCGCTTTCATGACATGTATAGATCAGTCTCCTGCAACTTCAGTATATAAGCTTCTCCAGTTGCGACAGTATCTTATCAGGTGAAGCACTGAAGGTAGTAGAAAGTTTAGGCCATAGTGCTGTTGCATATGATGTTGCACTAGACAGGTTAAAGAGAAAATGTGGTAAACGGCGTCAGATAGCGATTCATATAGAAGAGTTGAGCAACTTCAAACCTATTCGTGAAGGTGTTGCCAGAGATGTTGAACGGTTTGCAGACATCGTAGATGTTGCTGATGTCAATCTGAAAGGAAATGATAGACTTGAAGAGTTAGGAAATGCTTTGTTCTACACTAGTCTACTTAAAAAGGTGATGGAATCAATGGTTGCACGTTATCAGAGATGGGTTTATGAAAATGACAGATAAGAGTTTGTGGAAGCTTTGAGAACGTGGGTTATCCAGGAAGCAGAATTCCTCACCATTGCTTCAGAATCAATCCATGGTGTTGTTGAAAAAGGTAAGTCAGAAACGAAAGTTTACCAATCAGATCAAAAGAAAAGGTTGTCATGTACCTTTGTTAGCTCAAAAATAGAATCAGGTAACACATTCCAGAGTAAAGACAGAAGCTGCAGTCTTTGTAAAGAACATCATAAAATATGGAGATGTAGTGTGTTTAGAGCCATGGAGATTTCTGATAGATGGGATGCTGCAAAGAAAGCAAATCTTTGCTTCCGCTGTCTTGGTAGAAACCATAGTAGTAAAACATGTAAACGGATATCACAATGTGGAATTGGTGGATGTAAGAACAACCACAATAGATTGCTTCACAGTGACAAAGGTGGCACATGTGATAGGAATGACAAAATGTCAAACAGGTCTAGGATAGAAAGTGAATGACCTAAGACTGGAAGTGATACTGAAGAAATTCGAAAGAATCAAAGTGAAAGGTCTCACGCCACTTTACCTAATGTAGTACAGAAGGCAGTAATGGCACTTCGAACTGTACCAGTGATACTTTCAAATGGCAACAAACATGTCACTGTTAATGCCTTGTTAGATGACGCTAGTACAAGGTCTTACATAAATGCAGATGTAGCAGCAGAATTGGGTCTGCAAGGACAGTTACAGAGAATATCTGTTAATGTATTGAACGGAAACTTTTGAAACTAGGCCTGTAGACGTTAGACTTCAAAGTATGGATGGTTCTGTAGATAGAAATCTTACAGCATTGACAACAACAAAGGTCACAGGGAACATGAAAGTCATTGACTGGGAAAAGTATAAGAACAAATGGCGTCATTTGCAGCACATTGAATTCCCAAACAAAGGGAAAAGTCCATCTGTTGATTTGTTGATAGGTATTGACCACTTAGATTTGTATTGCTCTTATGGAGAGGTTCAAGGAAACCCGGGAGAGCCAGTTGCAAGAAGGACTCCTTTAGGATGGACATGTATCGGTAATATTGAGACAGGGAAGAATCCTCATACTGGATTTGCAGATGCATACTTCACAAATGAGGTAGAAGTTGAACTGAATACCTTGATGCATAGGTTTTTTGGATGTAGAGAACTACAAGTCAGAGCTCATGTTAACACCTGACGACAGGAATGCTATAGCCAAAGTGCAAGAGACACTGTTGTATGAGCATGGACGTTATCAAGTTGGCATTCCATGGTAAGATAATGTTCAAAATTTGCCTCACAATTATGACATGGCTCTTCGAAGGTTGATAAACATAGAAAAGAAACTGTAAAGATCAAAATACAGCCATGGCATATGATGACATTATACAACAATATTTGCAGAAAGGGTACATCCGCAAAGTTCCTTCTGATGAGACAACTGATTGTGGGAAGTGGTACTTACCTCATTTTCCAATCATACGCCCTGATAGACTGACTACTAAAGTCAGATTAGTCTTTGATGCGTCAGCAAAGTATGTAGGCATATCTTTGAATGATGCAATCCATCCTGGTCCAAAATTACAGCATGATTATTGGATGTCTTGCTTCGCTTTAGAAAGCATACAGTTTCACTTGTTTGTGATATTGAGGCCATGTACTTGCAAATCAAAATACCAGAAAGTGATACCATAGGTTCCCATGGCGATCTTTAAAAATGAACGAGCCACCTGACATATACGAATTTCGTTGTGTAGTATTTGGGGTCACGTCGTCTCCTTTCTTAGCTCAATACGTCACGCAAGAACATGCAAAGAAATATGCTGCAGACTTACCACTAGCAGCAGAGACGGTAACAAAATCAACCTACATGGATGATAGTATGGACTCTGTAGAAACTGAAGACAAAGGGGTAGAACTCAACAGACAGTTGTCAGAGTTATGGTCCAAGGCCGGAATGCATGCTCGGAAGTGGTTATCGAATTCGTGTAAGGTTCTCGAGAGAATACCACCAGAAGACAGCATGTGAAGTTGATCTGAGCAAAGGTTACTTACCTTCAATGAAAACACTAGGACTATTGTGGATTGCTGAAACGGATGTGTTCATGTTCAAATCTGAACTTCCTGCAACTGACGTAAAAATCACAAAAAGAACCTTCTTGAGCAATATAGCAAAACTCTTTGATCCATTAGGGTTTGTTGCTCCATTAACCTTCACAGCTAAAATACTGCTACAGGAGATGTGGACATCTGGTGTTGACTGGGATGATGAAATAACTGGAGATCTGAAAAACAAACTTTCAAAATGGCTAGACGAAGTAAAGAAAATGCATGCTTTAAAAGTACCGAGGTGTTTGTGCTCAGAAAACACATACCTTATTTCATATCATGTGTTTGTAGATGCGTCTTAAGATGCTTATGGTGCTGTTGTGTATGCAGTTCATCCATTTCTTACAGGCAAATCAAGTCGCTTAGTGGTAGCTAAGAGTCGTGTAGCACCACTGAAAGCAACAGGTATTCCTTGATTAGAATTGATGGCCGCCACAGTTGGTCTGAGGTTAGACTTGACAGTGACAAAAGCACTGAACTTTGAAATTCAACAGGTTAGATTTTGTTCAGACAGTTTAAATGTACTGTGCTGGATAAATAGCAATAGCAGATCTTTCAAAGCATTTGTAGCCAACAGGGTTGAAGAAATACAGTCGGTTACCAATCCATCTCAGTGGGGGCATGTTCCCACTGAAATGAACCCTGCTGACATGTTGTCATGAGGGTTCCTGCATTACAACTGCTTAACAGGAAGTTATGGTGGTCAGGTCCTGAATTCCTCCCAAAAGAAGAAACAGAATGGCTAGAACAAAAAATGACATAGCAGAAGGACAAAGGAAAAGGTGACAATGAAAAGTTAGCAAAAATATTTGCTTTACTTGCTGTGAGTAATGAACAATCATGGAGACTTGAACCAAGCAGATACTCAAGCTGGCAAAGACTCAGGAGAGTTAATGCATGGGTCTATAGATTTCTGGACAATTGTTCATCACAAAAGCATGAGAGAACAACAGGTGAACTCTCTCCAGAAGAAATTGAAGATGCGGAAATTAGAATACTTACCCAGCTTCAGAAGGATGAATTCAGTGATGAGTACACCAACTTTTCAAAAGGCGAACAACAATTATCAACCAAATCAAAACTCCTTAGCCTTCAGCCAGTTCTTGATGATCAGGGTCTCATGAGAGTAAATGGTCCGTTAAGGCAAGCTGAATGTCTTTCCTTTGGATCAAGATTCCCAATTATCCTGCCTCGAGATAATTGGGTAACCAAGCTAATTGTAAAGCACTACCACGAAGCTGGAAATCATGTTATGGGAACAAACCAAACACTATCAGCACTATTGTCCAAATTCTTGATCCTGTCTGGAAGAGAAGAAATCAGAAAGTGGGAACGTGAATGTGCTACATGCAAACTGAGCTTACCAATTGATGGCACTATTATCTGCCTTTAGAGTGCAGCCTTCACTTCGAGCATTTACTGATGTAGGTGTGGATTTTGCTGTACCATTCCTGACCACTCAAGGACGGGCATAGAAGAGACAAAGCGTTACTTATGTCTCTTCACGTGTCTCAAGACGAGAGCTGTCCACCTTGAAATTGCCTTTGGCCTAGATACAGACTCGCTTCTAAATGCTTTCTATCGCATGGTAAGCAGAAGAGGTCTTCCTCAAGTCATGGTTTCTGACAATGGTACGAACTTTGTTGGAGCAGTAAAAGAACTGAAAGAGCTTGTTCAACAAATGGATCAAGACGTCGTTGTGAGATCTCTTGCAAATAGAGGAGTAAAATGGTTCTTTAATCCTCAACACACTCCTCATTTTGGAGGAATATTTGAAACAATGATTAAAGCAGCAGAGCGTGCTATCTACGCCATCCTCAGCAAGAGGGACGTTGGCAGGAGCAGAAGCACATAAATTCAAGACTTCTCATATACCAGTCAGCTTACCCTCAAGATGAGACACCACTGATGCCAAACCAATTCATTCATGGACAAGCTGGAGGTATATTTGCCCCTGAATGTGTGGATTCAACAGACTTCAACCCGAGAAGACGCTGGCAGAGGATTCAAGAACTTGTGCGGTATTTTTGGAAAAGATGGATGCGGGAATGGTTGCCAAGCCTCAACACGCGCAGGAAATGGAATAAACAAGGTCGAAGCTCTTACAAAAAGCCCAAAGTTATTATTTGGAGCATCTTTTCTGCATCTTATTCATTCATTCATTTATCTTATTCATTTGACTGAAATTAATGCAGATATGCAGGAACTTCGTCAGCTATTATTGGAAATGCCTACGAAAGATGATATAAAACAACTAATGAAGTCGGTGGTCGACGAATATCTCGACTCATTAAGAGAACAGTTGAAAGACGAAGTTACAGAAACTGTGATCTCCAAAATGGGCATGGCGCATAGACGAGGTTAAAACTGATATGATGGTCTTAAAGAAAGAAAACGAAAAGCTCCGAAAAGACATAGAAAAAAACCAAGCGCAAATGGATGAAATGGAATTGAAATTTGCTGAACTAGCTTCTCGTGCAAACGAAGCTTTTAGACAGAGTAATCAAAACGAGCAATTCTCCAGAAAGAACAATATCAAAGTGTTCAATTTACCCGAATCTGAAGGTAAAGATGTGAGAAAATATTCACGGAATTGATGAAAAGTAAAGCAAACTCTGATGTAAACCAGGATGACATATTAGCTATTCATAGAATTGACCATGCCAACATCCAGTTACAAAATCGATGTTAATAAAATTCACATCTTCAGAGGCAAAATCTCGAGTTATTCGTTTGAGGAAACAGATTCGTGAGAAGTTGGAGTCGAAGTTGGCCGATGATGTTACTAAAACTAATGTTGTCCTCATAAACAGACTCAAGAGTCACGCTGGGATTGAAAGTACCTGGTATTTCAACGGGCGGGTTTACGCAACAACAACCACAACGGGCAAACGGTTCAAGTTTAACCCCTGCGACGACATTGATAAGGTTACAGGTAAACGTCAGTGAAGTGTGTCAGGTGTGTCACATGTACAGGTAAACGTCAGTGAAGTGTGCCAGGTATGTCGCATGTACAGGTAAACGTCAGTAAAATGTGTCAGGTGTGTCACATGTACAGGTAAACGTCAGTGAAGTATGCCAGGTATGACGCATGTACAGGTAAACGTCAGTGAAGTGTGTCAGGTGTGTCACATGTACAGGTAAACGTCAGTAAAATGTGTCAGGTATGTCGCATGTACAGGTAAACGTCAGTAAAATGTGCCAGGTATGTCGCATGTACAGGTAAACGTCAGTAAAATGTGTCAGGTGTGTCACATGTACAGGTAAACGTCAGTGAAGTATGCCAGGTATGACGCATGTACAGGTAAACGTCAGTGAAGTGTGTCAGGTGTGTCACATGTACAGGTAAACGTCAGTGAAGCATGCCAGGTGTGTCACATGTACAGGTAAACGTCAGTGAAGTGTGTCAGGGGTGTTGCATGTACAGGTAAACGTCAGTGAAGTGTGTCAGGTGTGTCACATGTACAGGTAAATGTGAGGAACTTGTGTCAGGTGTATTGACGACACACAGGTGTGACTCATGTACAGGTAACATTACCTGGGGTGACAGGTACGTTGGGTGTGTCACACGTTCTGGCACACCCAGCCCTCGCCTCCGCCAGATCCCCCTCACAGAAGCCTTCCTTCTTCAGTTCCTCACAGTCGGGGAAGTTGTCGAACTTGCTCTCTACACACACATCACATTCAATGTCAGTTTAATGCCTGACCCTCTTGTAACTGTAGAACTTGCCAACTTGTGTACAGACACATGATATACAAGGGACATGATACAGTACGACGTGGAATCTGACAGAATTATCGAATATCAGTTGTTATTTTTATAACCAGTTTTACATGCATCATATAGTTGATGGTTCTAGAGTTCAGACATGATGGTCATTCTGACAAAAAGGTTTGTTTTCTTGTTTCCCTGATCACAAAACGCAGGACATCCTGGTCTAGAATATGTCTTTACAAAGTCAATGCATTTCTCATATTCTATTCTGTGTGGGCGGGATGCTCGAGGCTAAGGGTCTTCACAATGCTGAACTATAGCATCTCTTGCAGGGAAATATTTACTGGTTAAAGCTGTTATGTGTACTATGCACTTATTCAGTGTAGTTCTGTACCGCACAATGTGATTGATATAATATCAAGTCAGTACCAGACCGCCAAACTTTTCTAGCGGCAGAGCCTCGTTTTAAGATTTCCACGATTTCCAGGTTTCTGCTTGTCAGAGCTCGCTGTACGACAGAGCATGCTGCACAACATGTTTGCAAGGATTAGAAGAAGCTTAGTGTTGCAATATACAAGTGCTTAGATATATCAAATAATACTGATTAATATTTATGTATCCAGTTAAATGGATTAGTCTCAACATTCTGGACTGGTTATTGTACGTTGCGCAATAGGACGGAGTCAACAGGAAACGAGACTGTTGTGTAATCACATTCGTCACCACTCGCCTCTGTCCGCAACCTCGCTATTCGGCTTGTCCCGGAATAACACGAGTTTGTCACGATTGGTGTAATCAATGTTTTGTCTTGTCTATTCATTATTCCGTATCGTATATGATCATGTTCAGAATGATGAATTACAAACACGTTTCTAGTTTCGAACTCATCTCATCATAATATATAAATATTATATGTGCATTACAGAAATTAAACGAAATTCCTATAAATGAGGAACCGTGCTTAATTTTTTTCTAAATACCTAAAGATATAAAGTAAAATACTTTGTTGTTCATTGTTAAAGTCCCACGACGTTATATTTCAGCGTCTGGACCACGTAATCCGGTGATTACAACATTCCACGCTATTGGAAGGTGACAAGATCGTCATTCCAAACACTATTAGAAGGGAGATGTTGGACAAGATACACACTGGGCATCAGGGCATTGTGAAATGCAAGGATAGAGCTCGGACAATATTGTTCTGGCCACGGATGAATATAGACATCGAACGTGTGATTGACAACTGCAGTACTTGTCATCAAAATAGAATGTCACAGTGTAAAGAGCCAATGATTCCTACTGAAGTTCCCAAACTGCCCTGGCAGATCGTGGCTACAGATCTGTTCCAGTTAGATGGTAGAGACTACCTAATAGTGGTGGACTTTTACAGTCGCTTCAATGAGATTGCCCTGCTGGTAAACACGAAATCATCAACAGTGATAACTCATCTGAAATCCATCTTTGCTCGGCATGGCATACCTTCCAGGATCATTTCAGATAATGGACCACAATACTCGTCAACAGACTTTAGAAGTTTTGCTGATTCATGGAACATTGAACATGTGACTTCGTCACCACTGTATCCCCGGGCTAATGGTCTGGCAGAGAAATCAGTGCAAACAGTGAAACGACTTCTAACAAAAGCAAAGCAGAGCGGGTCTGATCCCTACCTGTCGCTGCTTGCCTATCGGAACACTCCCATAGGAGACACAGGGTGCTCTCCATCGCAACTACTCATGGGTAGAAGACTGCGAGATAACCTGCCGTGTAAAACCATCTTGCTGATACCCGAGACACAAGAAGGTAACAAAGTCTACACAGCTTTGTCAGATTCCAAGGACAATCAGAAATTCTATTATGATCGATCTGCACACAGCAGAGCTGACTTTCAGAGCGACGATACCAACAGGATGAGACAGGGAAGACATTGGATTCCGGCAACAGTCACAGGACGAGCTGAAACTCCGAGATCGTACTATGTGAAGACAGCAGAAGGTGCAGAGTATAGGCGAAACAAGAGAGACATTATACCTGACGAACAGAATTCACGACGGGAGGCTCCTAGCCCTCCTGCTAGCACCTCTACTAGTCCAGCTGCTTCTGCAAAGATAGAGATATCATATCACAACATCGACTCCAATCGCAACTCCTAACACATCGCGGCAACCAACTGGTGTCACATCGAAGGGTCGTCTGATCTTCAAACCATCACGGTATGATTTATGCTGATGTGGAAAGACTTTTAATTGTTAATCTCTTAACATGCTTTTCTTTACAAGAAAGTTTAAATGATTGATTCAGTGCTGACTATACAGTTAGTGCTAACAAGGGACTGTTAATTTCTTTTCGTAACAACAGAGGGGATGTCACATATTTCGTTTAATTGTGAATCAATATTTTGTACCAGATTGGAACACGGTGGTTCGTTTCAGTTCTCCGATTCGACTGGGGGTATATAAAGTTGCTCGCCATGTGCTTAATGGCCTGATCACTTGTGTGTCCTGTTTTATAAGAATGTGAACATATAACACGAAGGAGAGGAAAACAACTAGAATAACACAATTAGAATTAAAACTAGCGTGGAAAGTTAAAAGGAATAGCACTAGTTGGACAATACAATATAAAATAGGCTATAGATCGCCAGCAACTGTAGGTAGATCACCATACTAGGGACCATGGGGACTGACAGTTCTTTTGCTACCTGCATGGACCCTAGCTGGATTTAGACCGTGCCTTCAGCAGCTGGCGATTGTAGGATAATTTAGCCGATATTTAAAAGAACAAAGATACTACATTGAAAAACTTGGTACGTGAAAAGTTTACTTTGAACGTTTTTGGGACTTACGTACCCTCTCAGGAGGGCAATAATTTTACGCTACTTCAACCCCCTTTGAGGATACAGCCACTAACAATTTGATAATCTGATCTACCAATTATAAAACCTTATCTATTTACAAAACACTTATCAAAATTCATTTAACAAGTTAAGTCTATCTCTTTTAAAAAATCAATAATTTAATGATAATTAACTTTATTAAAAAGGTCCTTTGCTGTTTTAATATTGAAATATTTATTTCTTATGATAGAGTGAGTGAGTTAATATTTAACGTCACATCGGCAATATCTCACCCAAATCGTGACGAGAACAATCCATACAATAAAAGGAGAAAACATTTGGAAGATAAAACCTGTCGACGACGGTCAGTACAAATACTAGAGAAATCACCGATATGAATATAAAACTAGCGAGCAAAGCTAAAACATTCCAATTAATGAAGACAATACAGTATAAAACACGGGCTATAGATCGCCAACAACTGAAGGTAGATCACCATACTAGGAACCACGGGGACTTACAGTGCCTTTGCTACCTGCATGGATCCTAGCTGGATTTACACCATCCCTTCAGCCGCTGGCGATTGTAGGAAAAATGTATCCAACACTTATAATAACACAAATACTACGTTTAAAATATGATAATGTATATTTTACTTTGAAAGTTTTGGGACTTACGTACCCTCTCAGGAGGACAATAATTTTACCGTACTTTAGCCCCCTTTGAGGGTACAGCCTATAACAATCTAAGTTACTAATCTAAACTACCAATCATTAAAATACATCTATCTACAGAACATATTATTAAAAATTCATCTATGAAATCAATTTCTTTAAAAAAAAACAATAATTAAATGAAAATTAACGGTGTTAAAAAGATCCTTAACTGTTTTAACATTGAAATATTTGTCCCTTATGATGGAGAATTCAACACAGTCAAGCAGGATATGCTTGACGGTGACTTTCTCATCACAAGAGATACAAAACGGAGGATCTTCGCCCTTCAATAAATATTCGTGAGTATATCTAGTTTGCAGTTTCGATTTACAAATAGTTTGATATAAAGACCAGTTAGCCTTCAAAAAGTTCCATTTTGTAAACGATGGAGAATCGGATGGAGTTATTTCTGAAAGGATAGTTGGGAAGTGGTCACTTCCACAAAGGTCATTATGAACAGACCAATCAAATTCATTCAGGAGGTTAGAATCTGCAAGAAACAAATCCAGAGAAGAATAAGTGCCAGTTGCAGGAATCATCATTAAATATGCGCAGGTCATATTTGGAAATGAAATCTTCAAGTATTTTGCCTTTAGTATTAGTGTTAGTGCTGCCCCAGAGTGGGTTATGACCGTTTAGGTCACCCATAATAACACATGGTTTCGGGAGTTGATCATAGAGTGATTGAATTTCAGTCTGCAGAAGTGCCGATGAAGGCTGAATATATAGAGAACATAATGTAAATGCTACACCCAGAGTAAGCCGCACCGCGGCAGCTTTGAGATAAGTGTTAAGTGTAACAGGGCTATGAATAACATCCTGTCGTATAAGGATAGTGGAACCTTCAGTGGCTCTATCACCCAGAGGGGAAAAATAATGATAAGCTTTAAACTGACGTAAGTTAAAATGATCTGTCTGTTTCAGATAAGTCTTTTGGAGACATAACGCTGATGGTGTTAAATCCAGGATTATTCGCTGTATTTCATTAAAACTGGTCCGTAGTCATCTACAGTTCCACTGGACGATATGTCTTGAAAAACCTATCTTATAGTTGGATTGATAGGGGATCTACCCCGCACCTTTTTGGAGGGCGACAAGTTGTGTGCCCTTGAATGGACGTTTTCGGACACGTCCATGTCCTCGAGGGATCCATATTTTTTAAATAGTTGAATTTTATCGTGTGACCCTTTTGGGGCTCTGCCACTTGTTTCTTGGAAGAATCTGGCTTCGGTTTGCTTTTGTTTTTAACGATATATTGAACTTTTGACGTAGATTGAGCCCTTTGAGTTGACTGAGAAAATGTGTCACGGTCATAAGATTTACTTTTGGTTGTAGTGATACCTTGTTGAGACCTTGTTGACGGCTGAGAAGAAGTTTCATGATCAGGGGATGTCTCTAATTGTATTTGAGATGTTTCTGGCAGTGATTCTCCTGTTTGAGAAGATGTAGTAGGTGAGAAAAGGTTAGGAGAATCCGTTTTCACCCAAGTCAAGTTTGTCTGACAACTTGCAGATACTGTAACTCCTCTAGATGTTGTTTCAGGTGTTCTTCTGGCAATGGAAGAATAGCTTTCTGTTTGTTCTGAGCTTAGGACTTGTCTTTTTGCATCTGCAAAGCTGATGTTTTGGGTGAACTTTATTCTATTAATTGCCATTTGCTGTTTCCAAACAGGACCTTCCTTAGAATAAGATGGGTGATTCCCTACGCAGTTGGTGCACTTTTTGACACTACTGTCACAATCTTCTGTTGTATGTGTCTTTTCACCACAGTGAGCACACACAACAGACAATGTGCAAGTATTTACACCGTGGCCACACTTTTGACATTTGAAGCACCTAAGAGGGTATGTATGTCTCAACATTAAGGTTACAATAACCAGTGATTTTGGTGCATTAGGGAGAGAAAAGGAAAACAGATACGTGTTGGTTTTAATGGTTGTGTCGTTTTTACGGGTTGAGAAACGTTTAACATAGAGTACACCCTGATCCTTCATCTCGGAGACGATATCCAGTTCCGACATGTCAGCCAGCAATTTCTCATGATCTCTAACAATTCCCTTGCTCATATTGAGGGTCTTGTGATCCGTGACGGTGACAGGAATGCCGACAAACGTTTCGGTGTTCAAATGGTTGGTTGACTGCTGTCTTTTACCACACTCAATCAACAGCGCACCAGAACGTAATCTTTAAATGGTCTTCACATCGCCGGCAATGCGTTGGATACCCTTAGACACATCAAAAGGGTTCAATTTTAATGGTGTCATATCTTTTGTCTCAATGACAACAAAACGTGGCCAGTAATCAGTTGGTTTGGGCAGTTTGAGGTCGTTATCAACAAGGTCAGTTTCAAAAGGACTTTTTTTTTGGTTGGGGTTTCATAAGCCATGGTTGTTGTTTAGATTTCATCATCCGAGCTGCCCACCCACCACGGAATATCACAGGGACAATACTGAAAATAAGCGGCTCTCCGACTTGCAGCACCAAGGATACTCGGATATACTCAAGTGGAAGAACTAAAAGTTTAATTTCCCACCAGATTGGCCCCATGAGCCACCGCCTTCTGGCATACGACTCTAGGCAAAAACACATATGAAATAATACTGATTTGGAATCATTGGTTCAAAATAGTTTGGCCAAGCCTGAAATATCAAAGTAATATTTTTGATTAATGTTTAGCATCACGTAGTTGCAGCACAGGGCTCGGCGGGACCAGCTGATTGGTTGAACCGGGCCCGGCCCATTCAACCACCCGTCTAGGTGAAGTAAGGGGCGAAGTGGTGTGTTGGGCAAAGGAACACTGTTCCTGGAACCAGTGCCCTCAACCACCAGACTCCCGTCCTCCACCGACACAGGGGCGCAACCCACGGCAAACGGGTTGGTGGACCAAATATCCCCCTGGGTCCACACTGGGGGTTGAAGAGCTCTTAGCGTTACGCAGCACCCACCATGAGGAGGTGGCTCTTCACGGGTGCCTCTTTACTATTCGACCCGTGAAGATCCATGTTAGAATTGGTCTACAGTAACCCATGCTTGTCGTACAGAGGCGACTAATGGGATCGGGTGGTCAGGATCGCTGACTTGGTTGACACATGTCATCGTATCCCAACTGCGTAGATCGACGTTCATTCTGTTGATCTCTGGACTGTCAGTACAGATTCGATAATTTACAGACTGCCGCCATAAAGCTGGAATATTGCTGAATTCAGCGTTACACAACCAACCAACCAACCAACCAACCAACCAACCAACCAACTTTCTTCACTATTCAGCTACATCTTCAGAAAACACGACCAAGACAACATACAAATTGATAAAATCATTGACGTGAATTTCTGCTTTGTTTCTTATGTACTGTTCACTACTGAGGAAACTATTCAACTACCTTGAGGAACTGTACGTGTTGCTTTCAACTAAGTATTTCATCGACAAAACATATACTAGGCACATAAAGAAACTGTGCATTGTCAAAACATTATCCCAGTTAATAAGTACGATAACAATGTCCAAGGTACATATAAATTGTAATGGAGGGATCATGAGACCATAACAAGTCGTGAGAATTTCAACTGAAAAGTCAATCACGATGACGTCACGAGTCCACA